AGTTGCTTCATCAATTTGCACATGCGAAGGTGGGTTTTGCAAAGGTGCTGTCTTATCTAAGGCAGCGAAAACCTCAAATTTCGCCTGAGCTTCAATCCTTTCGAGGGCCCCGTTTCGTGCCAAAAGACTTTTCAGTGCGCCTTTAAGGTCGCTAACGGTTGCCATAACAATCAACTAAACAAACATGGCATTTATTATACGCGGAATTGTCACGACTTATATTAAACGATGATATACATCGCATTGTAGCAACCCTTCTGCTAATAAATGTCAAATAATATAAAACCATTTGAGCCTTCAAACTAACCAATATATATATGTTATAAAATTAAGGGACATAAATTTGTGTAATGCTTTGTTTATGCAACTACCTGGCCTTTAGCGGTCACTTTAGGATTTGTCTGGTTCTTATACCCGTCCGTTGGTCTTCGGGCCATGCTCAGATCCACTTGCTCCGCCATCTTCGGAATACATGTATCCAGCCACACTTACTGCCTCCTTCCACCCTATGGGGAATATCAGGTTGCCGCAATTTGGGCTAAATTAAGTCTTCTAATCAGAAGAAGGGACTGAGACTTGCCTTGGTTTGTTTGGCTGGCGATGTCTGCTAGAGTGAGATAAAAAACAAAGTGCGTTCCAGATATCAAGTAACTACGTACACAAGGCCAATAGCCATCACAAAATATCCGGTGCTACGAGGAAACTCCCACGAGCCAACCACCCCAGTCAACTACCATGACACTGACGAACGGTACTTGATCTCCCCAACACCTTCAAGGCCCAAGGACAGAGAACGTGACGGGAAATCTCTGTTAAGCATCATTGATGTCCGAGACTGGACGTTGGAGCACTGGACTAAAGCACCAGATCAAATAGGAGTGCGGGATCAAACACAGTCGCAGATGTAAGGGGATTAAGAGGAGTATCACCTTCGACACCTACACGCAGATGTGGTAAGAAGAATTCCGATACACCATCATTCCAGATGGTTCAAGGCGGTGTGGCTTCAGTTGTTAACAGCTTGTCTGCGATAAACGGGAGTGAGGTAGCGCCAAACGCAGACATCATTATCGATTCTTCTTTTGTGAGGATTTGAGCGAAACTCACGCTCGAAGTAGATGGGATTCCTTCGCACCGAAGGTACATGTCAATACCAATGAAATATGTTTTACTTCATGAAATGTAGGGTTCGCTTTCCGCTGTCAACCTTGTAGAGCCTGTGACTTATTACCGTGCAGAATAAGGTATTATTTGTGTTGAACACATGTATTTTAAAGAGAGGAGAAGGAATTGGGGCTTGAGTTGGCTCGCAGGTGAGCCTTCGCTTTAGAGAGCCTTAATGGTGCATGGTGGAGGGAGGTGGAAAAATGGATTTCAACATCGTTTAAGTGGAATGCGAGACACATTTACAACACTGGTACATTTACCTCTCTTCTACATTTACCTCTCTTGCTTATATCTGTACAGAAATGCTTAATTAATCCTCGTCAATCAATCCTTTCTGTAAAAGCTTAGAAGAGTGAAAATGGAAAAGCTACGGTGGTTGCGACAGTTTTTTTAAATGACCATCTCATCTGGCGACTGCTTTGTTGCTTGTTTTGCCCTTGTATGCAAGGGATGGCCTTCGGCTCGTGTCAAGGCCCTGTTACTTCTTTTTCACTGAGAATGGATATACTCTGTTCAACATGATGTTTTCTTTTACTTTGGGAAAGCATTTAGATGCCACAAAAGTATTACGACAAAAAACCAGTCAAAACACTTGTTTAAGCGACAAAAATGGGTGATAATGTGTTAGAAATAAGGACTGTTTAATTACTGAATTTGTTCATGTGATCACCTGATGTCTGGTGCCTGCTTTGGAATTCGTCTACTTCTTGTAAGCGTGGTCTAATCTTCAGGCTATACGCAGTCTTACTTCCTTTTTTTTCCCGAGAATACATTTACTCATCCCAACTCAATGCCTTCGCCTGCGCCGTGGGAAGTCTCGAAACAGTGCAGTGAGCTTTTTAGCTATAGTGCCTTAGCTGATAAATTTGGTGTTGAGACTTCATGGTATTTTTAGGTACCTTTGTACCACCTTCTTTGTTCCACTATACGCGTGCCCGGCGACAACTTTGTCATTAGTTTTGCGCTTGGCTGATTGAGCTGGCCTGTGAAGTCGTTCAGAATCCACCTTCTTCCCGTTGAATCTCAAGTACAAATACTAATTTTTACTTGCTGCGTGCATCCACTTACTGGAAAGTATTGGAACCTTACAACCTTTCTTCCTTATATCGACGATGCGACTTGAGGCACCATAATTACATTGTAGCTGTGGCATCTCGAGACATTTTACCAAGTGCAAGAAGACTGCAAGTGAAGCTGGGCTCATGTATTCCAAAGAGAACAAAGCAGCTAGGCCTGAGCATGGCCCGAAGGCCAGCCAACAGGCACAAGCGCTAGACAAATCTTAAAGTAACCGCAGACTGTCAGTTGGTCACGTAAACGAAGCATTACAGTAGCATTTACATATTGTAATAAAGTTTTTAATTAAGTATTATAAACTTGTAGTGCTGAAAGTGCTTGTGATTTTTTTAAATATCTCAAATGTAATTTTCGAACTTATATGTTTGCCTTAAATATATATTCACCTTTGACCTAGATCCGTAAACTACCAATGGGAAGTTAGCAATGTCAATGAAATGTGCAGTGCTTTGAATTCAAGGAAGCGTCAATTGACCCTCTGCGAGTCTCTAAATAGAGCGTCAAAGAGGCCATATCCTGATCATACGTAAGTTTGGGCTGGAGGACAACTTGGCTTCTTTGTATCTTACAATGATCTACGAAAAGCATCTGTTTGATTACACAACATCCTGGGTTGCATTCTTCCTTGACAAATAGTTAGATTTTTGTTGGAACTGTACATTGGCGAGTGTTTGGGCTACAATTCTGCTGTCACACTCATCTTCTCCAGTCAGTTTTCGATCTGTATTCCTGATACCTTTGTCTTTCTGCTGTTTATAAAATTGAGGTGTGTATGTTGAATAACTTTGTTGTTATTGTTTTTTTTATTGCTTTTATGGGGACGTTCACAGTATTTGGTAGCAATACTGTGTGTTGGGCACTCAATGTTCAAAGTGCCAAGTTGATTCAGCACGTTGTGAAAGTATTTTAAATATACCATCCCGCTGTCATATTTGCATCGGATGAGATTTATTCTTTTCCTAATGTAGGGACTCAGAAGGTTCCCGATCAAACATGACCACTACTGTCTCGGGGATTTTTTCAAACCCTCACTTTGTTTGGCAGGTTGGTGTTCTATGTTTTACTTTCGGCTCTAGAATTTGGACGCACTTTTCGTCAAGCTCGCCTCAGAACCCATTGCGGGCGCTAAGTGCAATGTGACAAATCTATACGAGGTTGTTCTTTTCATTTAAAGGTAGGTGCCTCTGCAAATAGACGGAGAGAAAGGTGAAGTCTTCCTTAACATCATCTGAGTATACGGACGCGTGGAATGCCTCCTATGTGAAATTACCTTGCTCTCCTCAAAACCTCTATTATGAAAATGTATGTTTCAGCAGTCCTAGTAAATGTGCTCTTGTTATCTGGCGTACCTTGCCTACGCCATCTCTTTTTATTCATTCTTGAAATACTTCTTCAATTGCTAATTTTATGATTTGAGGGAAAGTCTGTTTGCCGATGGACTCTCATAGAAAAGGCTCTATCGACTCCTATAACTTCCGTTGAGGAGTTTGCTGTAAGTGCGTGGCAATGCAGACTGCCGTGGGATTGCCAAAAAGCTACGCTTAAATTTTTACTTTAGAATGCCGTTTTCTCGTACAATGTGCGATTTATTGGTTTATGGAATTTCGGCCACTTATCAGCAGCCTTGCAGATTGAGCCTCGCTATTTGCAGTTGCTGCCGGAAATTGCAGGTCTTGCCTTGAGGCTGCCATATTTGGTTACTCGGGTAACGGGAAATATTTAAACTGTCATTCAATAATGCATTGCTTAAGAGCTTTTTTCTACATCCTTCTTATCCTATGCGTCGTAGAATTATCTATCAATCTCAACTACCGCGAAAAATCCTAGTATTAAGCGCTTTTTTATTCTTTTCATTCAGCCAATTCCATTGCTTTTACGCAACCAAGAATCCAGTGTTTCTCTAAGCCAATTCCAAATCGGGTGCCTTCTGGCTAATGCCTTCTACTGCACTTTCCCTTACCGAAATACAAGAACAAAAGAATCTGAATATTCGAACTTTCCGTTTATCAATTTTGGGACGTTAATGTCAAAGGGGTGAGTTATTTTCAATTCTCTAATTGACGCATTCCTTTTTGTTAGCTGTGTTTATACTTCTGCTGTACTTCACTCAAATAAGTTTTGTAGTGTTCACCTGCTTTAGTCGTTTGTAACAGTTTAACTTTACTTGTCATTGTTTAGCTTCAAACCAGTCGCTTTGGGAATGCGTTGCTTATCTCCGTATATTTGTTGAAATGGCTCGCAACAAGGCATATTATGTACACAGTGCCCTTGGTATAAACTTGGTTTCTCCTGTAGCATTCCATCGATTTGAAACGATTTATTTCTGTAAGCTCGTATTGAAAGCATCACTCAACGGCGCTTTGAATATAAGCACTGATTTGCATAATACTTTTTGTTGCCCTACTTCAGCTTGCATTGATTAGGTTACTTCTATCTTCTCGAGAAGTGATATCTAGCCTTAAGGTCCAGTCTCGATCCAATGGCTTTCTCAGCTGTAATTAAGTGATTTTGTTCTTAACGATTGTATGAACCTTAGCGTACTTCAATGTAGCTGCATCGCTAATTAAATTCGGCTGAAAACATGGGTTTCTTTTGTACAAGCAGAATTTTTTCTAAAACAGGATTTTAAAATGCAGTAGAATTATTGCGAATACCATAACCGCAAGCCTACTTTCGTGAACTTAGCAAAACCACGCAAATATCGCATCTTTGCTCGGCCGATTTTTCTTTCGACTTGTCCCCTTTGCAATTTTAGATACAGAAACCAAAGTACATCAGCCGACCACAAAGTGTTGTGCATTCTACACTATTTCAGCCGCATTTTGTCCGACGTTCCCCCCAATGGTATAGTGACATTTTCTCGCCGCTGCCTTAATCAGCCGCCTGATTTTGTGTCAAGTGACGCTAAGTTTAGGTCTATTGCCTTCGGAGTGAGCTCTACCTGTCTCATTGAAGACGCTGACCCCGAGACCCTTCAGGTATTCGGCCATTCTAGCTGCTATGGTCCCATTCATTCCTATTGGGTTGCTTTTTGCAGTTGTTTTTATATTCAGGTTAATTTTGCTAATCGTTTTCTTGGTGGTGGAGTTCTTCGTGGGGGTTGCGTTCAGGAAGAGATACTCTGCTGCATTCGTCCTGAGATCCTCGCTGGGCTACTTTTTATTGAAGCCATGGATAACCATGAAGCCCTTATCATTGAAGGAGCGGAAAGATTTTCCCGTTACACGGGTTATGGAAAGACGTTCAAATGGGCTGGCGACTTCAATGAGGCCGCTGATGCAAAAAATACACGGTGCTTCCCCTTGAAGTTACCTCGTGTTTCTTCTTTTCCTGTGAATGCTAAATTGTTAATAATTCATACTTGGTTTAAATTTCTTATCCCAATGGCGCTATACTAAAATAGTTCACCTTTTTGGAATTTTTGACTTCTGATGCAGGATTCTTGAGGTTACGTTTAAACAAGTCCTGTGTTCATAGCCTTCACAATGTCTGATAGGAATGAAGACGGTCGGTGGCTTGGTGCCATAACTGCGATTGATGCACTCCATTTTGCCAGACGTGCTCCTCAGTTCGAAGGTGAATACATTCGACGCGAACTAGATAAGGTGAACGAAAATTTAACGCCAACATGATTTTAAGTTAGCTCCTTCATCTAGGAATTTTCGATACGATTTCAAACTCATTGTTTCTTCATCTTTGCTATTTTTTTGTGGAATGAAAATAAGGAAGTGAAGGTAGGATTTTGCATAACCGCCTATGTTTCCCACTTATTTTTTTTCGTAAAGCATCCAGTCCACTTCACCGTAGAAGACAACGAGATGCCAAAGTAGTGTGTTGTTTAGGCTGTCCAAGCGTTAGGTTAATACCAACTATTGTTTCGCCTCATAGCTTCCTATTTTACTGGCGATCTTTTTCCATATTTCACCAGGCCTACTGTGGTTTCACCAACCTCCTCTCTCCCCATCGAGGTCTTCCCAATGTTGTCGTGAGTGGCCATTGGGGCTGCGGTGTCTATAATGGCGACAGGGAGCTCAAATGTAAGTCCTATGTCCCCTTCGATATTCGTGGTTGAAAAGTAGGACTACTTAAATGCTATAAATCCTATAAATGATGCTTTTTCTAAAATTTAGCTGTTGAATTTGATAAAATCGTCTATTTTGATTACTTTTGCTGCGTAGGTCCCTCTAATTTGGTATTTAAACTGCTAAATTATGAGTCCTGGCCTTTGAAAATGAAATTTCCCGCTTTAATTGGGGGGAACCATTGAACAATGGGTGATATCAGTAGTCAATAGCTCCGGTATCGACTATAACTGCATCATCCGATTTTTTTCCAACTTGGTTTTTTCCAATCATTTGCAAACTCTAGCGGGACACGCCCAGTATGCTCGTTCTTGTTGCTTGCGTAGGTCTGATCCAAATGATGGCTTGTGCTCAGGCTGGGAAATCGCTCGCGTATTGCACGTTTTCTGATGATGACTTTGCTAAGAAGGCTCTTCAAGTCTTTCAGGTTCTTTGCTCCAGCTCATGCACAGTTGGTAAGCCTCATTTTCACACCCTTAAGCCGTATTTCACGATTTTACCAACAAGTAATCTGTAGCCTAGTTCATTGCGATAGTTTTTGACATCTAGCGGGTCTTGAATCCTCGACTGTGACTTTAAATTGATTTGGAACCCTGTTATTGATATTGACGGTTCGTTAACGCTCGTCGTTTAGACTTCTCCTGAAAAAACATAATGTAACGAGATAAGAAGAAACGTTAGTGGCTGACATTTGAGTGTCTCTTTCAGGGCAGTTGTGGGGAGTCTTGACTACCATTGGTCGGACAAAATGCACATCCCGAAGACCAAGTGCCTTTGGAGTCGTAATCGAAGAGTTATCAAACGTGACTTCATTGTCCTAAGTGTTTTTAAATTTTGCATTTTGGCTTTTGATCCTATAAATCTTTAACGTCAGCAAACAAATGTAGAATGCAAATTAAGGTATTGGAGGAGAATTTAAAACTTGGATGGCTTACAACATTATTTAATTACCAAAAGTTGAGTAGTTCGTATCGGGGGAGGTTGACGATCAACTAGAAATGCATTCGGGTGCACTGTTTGGAATTTGTTTACTTGGAAATTACTTCGTTGGGACCAGCATTTTTGAGTTCAATATGATGTTAAAATCCTTTTGCTTATCTTATTTCAGTAAGTAGAAACGATCGCAATGCGCACTCGATTGCGAGTGCGCTTTCCGGAAATTAGAGTGTGGAGGGCTGTGCTATTTTCGCTCGGGTGGCGTTCATTTCTACAGTAGTCAGCGTTCTGGATCCTCGTCTTTTCGACTGATTGTTGGGAACGTTTCCGGTAGTTTTGCTCATCACTGCACTTTGCTGTCTTGTGAGAAACGCAGAATCAGACGGGTATTAGAGCTCTACAAAGCTCTACGGTGCTTTGTGCGACATTATCGAGGCTGTTTGGTCATAGTTCAGATATTAAATGTTGTTCATTCGTCTATCATAGCATAAGTGAGCACTAATTTTGATGACTGGGGTTCAAAGTCACACTTATTTCCTACCTTGTCGACTATGACTAGTGGGTGTAAAAGTTGTCTCAAGTGTCTCCATTCACTGGTTTTTTCAACGCTTTGAATTTCTTTTGGCGGATTTATCGTCGCTTTAGTGAGTACTAAAAGCCGTTCAAGTGATTTTGAAGGAAATAGAGCTAAGATGCCAGCTTACTTGATTGGAACGGAAAGGAAGTAGGGGTGTACTTACTGTTGTCTGAGTCGGTCGTCTTCAAGCCCTTCAAGCACCGTCCCCCATCCGCGGGGACGGTTCAAACTATTCGCTTTACGTGTTGGTGACGTTCTGGAGCTGGACTTTTTATCTCATGGCTTCTTTGTTCCTATAAAGCTATCGATAAAAAAAATGTTTTATGGGGGAATCCTTGGGCTTCCTAAGTAGCGAGTTTGTGATGTATTTGAGAGTAATATATGCAACAGTCATTTGGATCCCGCTGTGTAGGAAAAAGTCGTGGATTCAATTCAAGCATCATTTAAGTGAGGTGTGAGGGCCTTCCCGGCACCGGTCCAGTAATCTCTGTTCGTTCAACATTTTGCTTTTACTTGTACAGAAATGCTCAAAAATTATTCACAAACGGCCTTTTTTTATAAGAAGGATGAGGCGAAGGACGAGGAGAGTGATGATGAAGGAACTGTAGCGTTCCGAGACTTTCCAACATGTGCAAGAAAGCAGTGAAGCTGGATACATGTATTCCAGGGAGAACAAAGCACTTTAGCCTGAGCATGGCTCGAAGGCCTCTCCGCACATACACTAGCCAAACAAATACTAAAGTGACCTCCAAACGCCAGGTGGTCACATCAGCAGAGCGGTACAGGAGCAGCATTGTATGCAACAAAAAAGCGAAGCTCGAATCGAGGTCTGAATGTCAACAGGTGGTACTAAAGAGGAAATGAATGTTAAAGGGGCGTATTAGGGAGCCAGCTTTTGCTTTTGGGGTGATATGGGGACGTCACACATATAAATGTATATTTTTGGCAGGAGAAGAAACCTCATACCTGCCTGCAAAGTGCTTGTAATGCTCTGTTTATGTGAATACCTGACGTTTTGCGGTTAATTTAGCATTTGTCTGGTCCTTGTACTCTCGGTCTGGCCTTCGGGTCATGCTCAGGTCCATTTGCTTTGTCATCTTCGGGATACATATATTCAGCCTAACTCTCGGGACACTACACTGGTGACAGCGGAATGCCAACCGACATCTATCAACGACCTCTCTCCTAGCACGTACCGTTTGTTGCATGTGCCTACGGTGTGCAGGTGGTACATTTACCTCGGTGAGCAGAGAATCCCTGAATTCTTCACAACGAAGGGATTTAAATTGACGTCTACATTTGGCTTTACTTTGTTCCCGTGTTCCACAGACAAGCTATTGACAAATGAGGCGACACCGCCGGGAAATATTTGGAAAAGTTTCGTGTTGGAATTTCCCATACAAAATTCGTGTTTGGCTGTCGGAAATGACACCACGGTTCTCCTCGCATACGGGCTATTGGCTCATCCCGTTTTCCTTATAACACATCTGTTTTAGACCAGAGTTACACCGTCTATTCCTGGAAGGAATTGATGGTTAACAGGTGTATGCGGCTCCGAATCTGGAGGTCAGACCGAACATAACTGCAAATGCGGTTGAAGCTGCCGAGAAAATCAGATACGGTTCCTCAGTCTCGTGGTATCTTTCGGCTGGTGCATTTGGCTCGTGGGTGCTTTATTGTAATACTGAATACGTTGAGATGACTGGTGTGGGTGGTGTACGCGAGGAGAGCGCCGAGGAAGTCGGTCAAAAGAAGAGATGGGCAGTGTAATACTTTGTTTGTGTGACTACCTGTCGTTCGGCGGCCACTTGAGGATTGATCTGACCCTTGAACTCGTGGGCTGGCCTTCGGGTCATACTCAGGTCCATTTGCTCTGTTCCCTTCGGAATACATGTATTTAGCCTTACTTGACGCCTTCTTCCGCACTATGAGAAGTTCGGAACTCTTCAGCCCTGTCGGCCCAAGATTGCAACTACTATTATCGTTTGTACAAAGATAGTAAATCTGTAGCCTGTATTGGCTTGACATCCTTAAGACTGTTAGAAGACACCTCTTCCGCAGGAGTTTTATTTGGCATTTCAAAATTACAATGAGTAAGAGGTAAAGAAAGAGGAAGAGGTTCACTGGGATAGGATCAAGTTTTCTCCAAAAGGCCTCGAGCGCCACCTCCTTCCTACACAGCACACTTTAAACACACAATATGTGTTACAAAACCTAATGGTTGCATTTTTACATGTCAAGGAGCAGTCTAGAAGTTAAGTGCAATAATATGTTTATGTTACTCTGTGATATCCGGCGGATGCTTTAGAACTCGTCTGGTCCGTGTACGTGTGGGCTGGTCTTTGGGCCAAGCTCGGGTTTAATGGCTTTTCGGATTCTAGAGTGCAAATATTGGACCCGATTTAATGCATTCTTCTACCAAGTGGGAAATCTTGAGATCCTACATTAAGCGATTTTTGCACGAATTTCGTTTTGTTGAAATTAATAAGAACACAAATTCAATATTAAATGCTTTGAATGCTTTTATACGGGGTCGACTTCAACCAAACATATTTTCCAACGTGTATGATAATCTGCATCCTTAAAGTTTTGCGCGAAACATTGCACTGAAGTCACTTTGCGATTAAAAAGCGATGAAAGACGAGTTTTAAAAGGAGCTGTTTAACACAATGTGTGCAATAATTGGAAGTGCATGTTGTGGCTGCCTCGATTTAGCCTACTTTTTGTGTTTAATTTCCCTACTGTTTTTGTAAATGCTGGTGATCTCCATGTCTTTGTGCTTATTTCATAGGAACTTGAAAATTCAATATCTGATGTATTTGGAAAATCTGCCTTTCTTTAACTTTTGTCATTGATAATCATCACAACCTCATCGCTGGTTAGTAGGACTGATGCTTTACATGCAGCATTCCTCGTCTACCATATTTTCAGGATTGAGGTTTTGGAATTCTTATTTAATGGTTGCACCCACTGCAACTATCTGAACAAGTTTCTGGCCTTGCTTTACCCGTTTTTCTCCCTTAGATTAATGGCTCTTGTTGTGCGACCTATACCAAATTTCATGCTGGTTTCCCATACCTCTCGCTCTATTCTCCGACACGTTTCTGTGAAGTCGTGGCCAACCCTCGATAATCCATGGAGAGAAAGGCTTACTGTTAGTGAGCAGGCTACTTTTCCGCCGAACTATGTGATTTCAAGGGAGGAATTTAGATTCGTCGAATTGTTGAAACCCATGGATACAATTCCACCACCCCCCGCTATCGATTTAACACCGAGTGGTTGGAGGCCTCCCCGTCGTAAGGACTTCATGAATTGCTGCCTTTTGAGCTGCCGGCAGTTCTATTTGATACCCTGAACTGAGCATCGTAGAGGCCACGTCTACCAAAGGGAATTTTATTTGATAGAGGGGACGATCGATAATGCCTCTAAGTCAGTAATTAGGATTTCCAACTTGTTATATATTTGATTGTTCACTTTCGCTGGAGGATAATGGCACTATAAGACCTTTTGCTACTAATGCGACTCTATTTGTAATCTTTGGATTTTATTAAGATTGAAAGAACTAAAGTTCACCTTTGAAACTACGTTGATGTAGACCGGAAGTGGTTATTCGCAAGATCTTTTGCCTTCACCGTATTACTAGTTGTGTTATTGTTCTGGCTAACATATCCGATTCATCCTTTTCCGAAACTTTGATTGACTCGGAATACGAAGGAAGTAATTAATTTAATTTATCCACTTTAATATCAGCTGAGGTCAGCTCGAAGAAACCTTATACAGTGACTCGCTCGCGCAACCACATGCTTCCCGTCTACTTGGAGATTAAGGAGAGGAAGAGAAGAGAACAAACCCATGGGAAGAGAATGCTTACCGTTGTAACTAGAGTTGGGGGCGATATATCGGTAAGGTGCCCTCTCTCTTTCAGTTGTCACCACCACTTTTTCTTTTTTTGTTCTTATTATTAATGGCTGGACGAATCTTCCTTCGGGGATACGATATGCACTCTTAAGAAATAGAAACAGTGACATAAACTATCAACGTCGCTTAAAATACTGTAGTTCCTAATTTTTCTTAAGTACAGCATCATATGTATCATGCCCATAGTCTACTGTATTTATTGAAGTAGCTTTGGAATCGTCAAAGCCGATTTAGTGTTTCCCAATTTTCAGGCGCTGGCCGCAGAACTGGAAGCTCTTTTGAAGGACAAATGCGAGGCGGGGCGGTTCCTCTGCCAGGTGGATGAGGTCACCCAAAAAATAAAGATCGATGGAGTCTTTTTAGACGAAGTTGCGGCCTTCCTTATTGAAAATGGGTTTTAACGGTTACTAACAACATTGCTCTACGGTGATTAGTATTTCACGCAAATGTACAAAATGAAACCTAGTATTTTTTAAATTCGTTCGTTTTGAATGTCTAGATTTATCCCAGCTTAGCAACAGCTAATAGGTTTGACTCATCTAATCACGAACTGGGGTCGGTGTCCAATTTTAAAGTTTATACAACTTGTATTCCTGACTCAATGTTAAAGGCTGGAGCCTCTATTTTCTTCCCATACATTCGCTCTCGTTACCTGAGTGATCCTCAATGAAGCAGCATGTGGGGTAGGCGGTGGAATTGATTAAACCTCGCGCTGAGGTCAGTGTTAATAAGTCTTGGGTTAATTGGGAAATAAGAAACGGCACAGGGGACTTCTAGCCTTATTTATCATCCAGTAGGAAGATTCCATTTCAACACATTCTTCGGAAGGGATGTCTGAGGCTTCTCCCTGTAGTGCGTGCGCATCGTGAGACGAACCGAATTCGTGTACCACAAGCAAGCTTCTGTCATACATTTAAAGCACAATCAGGCGGAAATGGTTTAGTATAAGCATGCTTGTGCTATACTTTCTAATGTGCGTGTAAGGTCGTGCCTTATCACCAATGCATTTAATGAAGAGGCAATCACGAGGTAGGTAACATTCAGCATTAAGCGTGGGAGTCCTTGCTTTGCAGGCTGAATCTACTGTTTCACAGGTCTAGACGAGTGGCTACAGAAGTGCGAGGTAGCTTTACTCTCGTGGCAATATCCTCTCGTAAACACCGAGTACAGCACACCTTGAGACCCCGTGATTCGGAGCTTGATCAAGAAGCGGTAACAGTGCGACAATAATTAATGTTGCATTTTGAAGCTTAGAATATGGTTAAATGCGGATGTGGGAAGTTCTTGATTTCAGTCCAATAAAAATTGCAGTTTCACCAATGGAACTGTGTAGCAACATTGTGCCAAATTGATGGGAATGATTATTGTCACTATTTTTATACATTCAGGAGCGTTTTTGAGTGAAAAGTCTGCAATGGTGCTATCCCAAAATCCTCACATTACTCCTCTGTCATAGTCTACAAGATTGTGGTGAATTATAAAGATGTATGTGAGAAATGAAATTGGTAATGCATATTTCTAAGATGACCACTAGCCATCGTAGACAGTATTTGATTCACAAAGCTTGATGCTACTTTTGAAGTCCCAAGTTGCACTACCGGAATACATAAGATTCACTATTACTTTAAGGACGGATGATAATGTATTTCTCATATGCTTCAAGAATACAATTCAAGGCAATGTCATGTTCGGGGCATACCTCGACATCTAGCGTGATAAAACGATCTAATGGTTCCAAGTGGAGGCATGAACTAATACGTGCTGAGAGTTCTTAACCATCTCAGTGCAAGTGTTTGAAGCTAAAACAGACACAAATTTAGATCGTCACGCTAGCTTAGACAATGATGTGGTCGCCTTTTCGACCGTCCATTATCAACAGCATTGAAAATCGATGCATGTCTTGCGGTTGTGTGCGCCTAACTGATTGGCGTTTGGGGAAACGAACACCCTTCGCTGGTGAACCAATGAGAGCAGAAGGAAGAATTGGCCAGCGGGCAATTCAGTCGTTGTGTTGCGCACCAACAGACACAACGCAAATCTGCACCGTCGTCATGAACGAACACAGGGAACGCTTTTTAAGAAAATTTAGGGAGATGGATATCGATAACAGTGGCGTCCTTTCCAAGTCCGAAGTGAAAGAATGCCTCGGTGCTGCCGGCTTCGATAAGAAATTCATCAAGGTGAGAGAATCGGTTAAAGTAATCGACGGATTAATCGACTTTTGCTATATAAAATAATTATATTTGGTGGGGTGTGCATAGGCAAGCCCATATGGGGAGATACATACAAGGATAGAAAATCGCAAACATCAACTAAATTGACAGTAAATTAACTTTGGTCGGAGATGAAAACATAAATGAAGAGCAAGAATATTATTGGCATGAACACAAAAATAGCTGTCATGCTCACTGTTTCTCTTGGTTAGCTCAGCGGAAAGGCGATGGGGCGGGAATTGCTTGAAGTTAGTATTTCCTCCGTTAAAAATAACTGTGCAACTGTAAGGTTAACTCTTATTCAGAACATGCTTCGATGACCACACTTCTGGCACGCCCCCGTCTGATTCATACTTTAATGTAATGCAAGCTTGAAAGCTGACAGAAAGTTCAGAAAGCGATGAGAATCTCGACTGAGTGACTGCTCCTCCAAGTAACTCTGACGACCATTCACTTGTAAGGCGTAACTTCCTTATTAAGTATGCCATAACAGAAGTAAAGAGTTCTGATAACGCTAGCAACTTACAACATGCGTCCAGTTGTCCTTTTAACGCATTTGGTTGAACCTTAATTGATAACCTAAGGCCACTGGTAAAATTCATTCCTGTCAGTCAGTACTTGATGCAGTAACAACACCCAAGTCGTAGTTTTGTCCCTAGGCGTATGATCGAAGCAATAAAACTTCAGGCCTTATGCAAGTTCATTTACTGGCTGATTTCAGGTATTTTGCCGACAAACCGTCAAAAGTTAGTGTAGTAATCAGGTTTGCACAAAAATGATGACTCAATGTAGTGGCAAACTGGAGCCCAAAGTCACACCTTAGTGTCTTTTGAACCATCATTTTGCAACAAATGCTTCAGCCAGAATTATTCTGCGTTTTTTAGAAATTCATGAAAAGATTTGATGCTGATGGTGATGGCAACATTACTGAGGACGAATATCTTCGTGTTGTTTGTGATCTGCCAGAAGAAGAACTCAAGTAGGTGGTGAATCAACATTCCCTAAGCTTAATCACTAATGATACAATAGTAGTCCATTAATTTGGAAGAAACTTTTTAAAGCACAAATGTACACTTGAGATTTGTCTCTAAAAAATGCGGTAGACATTGCTAGTGGCATTGTGATTTTAAATTTATAGCACTTCTGCCCACAGAATACCATTTTGGCGAAGCGTTTTCGACGATGTGGATAGGGACAAGTCTGGAAGGATCTCGTGCGTAGAACTGCACAACCTTCTAAGAGATATGGGCTTCCCGGTAAAAGTGTCCGAACTTGAGGAGTGGATTCGGAGCCATGATAAGGATAAGGATGGCGAAATGGACTTCCATGAATTTGTTGCTTTCATGTCTGATACAAAGCATTGAGAGCGATTGGCCAATCTCAATCTAAAATGGCATTTTAGCATTGCATATGCTGATCCGGTGTTGGTTTTACCGCTGTTTAGTTTCGTTTTGATGTGAAAATGAACTCTCCTTTTTTATGTATGCGAATTGCGCACTCGGAACAACACTTTTGTTCGGCCTTCATAACTGTGGAAATAATTGTGAAAATAAAATCATTGGTTAATTAGATCAAACAAATTTTAATTTCAAAGGTAAATGTTGAAAAGTCTTAAAGTGGGCAGTTTTACCAAACTGAAAGTCGAATTCTACATAAATTATCACGGCATTTTATGTATGGAAACCTCTGGAACAATTGCAATGCATCCACTCTAATCTTTCTTGCATTCTAATGAGTCGAACTTGCTGTACGGTTTAGAGGAACCAAAAGCAGCCGTAATTTGCGTCGTTTCTTGATGAGTGGGGTCCTTCCAAAAATTACAGCACAGTTAAAGATGACAAATTGCTCGATCATCGGTGGGGACGCGGAGTAGGGCGTGCCAGGCCACCTTGGAGGGGCGTAACATGCGAGGCATTCGACCAAAGGACTGAGGAATATGTAAGGGAAATCATCTATTTGGTGGCAAGTAAATGTCCACTTATTGAAATAGTGCAAGATATGAAGCGGGTTTGCTTTATAGGGACTTCATTAAACTTTCTGCATGGCACTATCACAGAAGAATACGTTTAACAAAGGCATCTCTAGCATTAAAAATAGATCATTCCTAAGAAAACTGCTTATTATGAGATGTTAACAGTATAAACATCACACATTGAATTCTACTAGTCAGCATTTTCCCTCTTGTCACAGCTAAACGGTAAGATAGAATGAATGAGAACTTAAGACATAACTGGTTAACCTTTTTTCCACGGTAGCTCATTCTCTGAAATCATTTGAGTCACAAGCGAAACCACTGACTCCACGGTCCTGCCGGGCATAAAATTTGGTCACACAGTGAGACGGGCTAAATGGCATCCTTAAAAGAGCCGTCAACGGGACGATGGCTTCAACTAGTGAAGCATCATTTCGTGGGTATTGCAGTCTCCAATAAAGCAAACCAAACATACAACGCACGAATTTGACAAAATGTTCTGAAAATCCTATAAGTGAATTGGGTTCACATTGCATAAGAGTAAATTTGAAGGCAAGCCCAATGTTTGCATTCTACATTCGCAATAAGTGAAAAGGAAATGTTAGTTAGAACGGATAGTGCTCAAGATGAATACAAAGATAGGGCAGATTTATGATATCTCTAGCAGTCCATTAAAATGCAACGTGAATTGCTTATCTGAAACGCAAAATACTTTGTGGCGTGAACGCAGATGACATAGGCTTCGTTGGTGGTTTTGTGTGATGCTCAGAAAGAGACGAATTGATGCATTACATTAAGAACGGCCTTGCCCAAGGAAAGTACAACAGACGTGATTCAAAGCTATTTCTTTTATGCATCCGACAGCTTTGATTGCGTGGCCATTCGTCAGTCACGGCATGGCATTCACGTGACAAAGCATTAGTGAAACGACTAGTCATACTAGACAATGGCCTCCCAGGGGGAAGCTCAAAGTGAGACGCCAGTCCAGGTCAATAATGAGCGTAGGTCTTCTGTCGCTTGTGAAAATTCTGCACCAAAAGTAATTGATGCTCCGCAGGATCTGACGGTCAGTGGAGGTGCTGAAGTAGGGCGTCAGACATGCTGCGCCAATCAAACAAGTGATATCAACAACGATAGTTGCCTCCAATGTTCTTCCTGTCAAGAATTTACTACGCTGTTTCCATTCAGCTACAACATATTTGTTCCGGCAACAGATTCAAGTATCCATCATTTTATGAAACTGAGGCACAAACTCACAACGACCTATCTACGCTGTCGGCTTCGCATGGGAGTTAACACATTCGATAGTGGATGCATATACGGAAATGAAAGACTGCTTCGTGTGGAATCCCAAACTGAAGAGGAGCTGATTCAAGCAATTGATCGATTAGATGAGGTCATTCCTGCATGGAAGGTTTGGCAGCGCGGCAAAGTGGATTCTCAGCTTATACGATGACGTAGGCACTTAGCCATCGTTGCAGGAATACCTCCTGACAATGTAAGCACTGAGGAATGAATTTTCTGTCAATCCTACTTATGCCTTTTACACCAAATTTTAGTTAAATCGTATTCCGCAAATCTGCAAATGCAGCTGACATACAGAGAACTTAGAGTAGTGGAGAAGTGCAAACAGAGGTTGAGTCCTTATGTAGGCAGAGACAAAAATGTATTAAGTAGCGTGAAATCTTGCATGAAAGTTTCAGGTCATTAGTGAGGTACTGACAATTCAGGTCAGTATTGAAATGTCGTATCAAGTAACCGCCGAGTGTGCAATTTGATACTAAACCAAAGTACACGATATGTGGACTAGTGCATTTTAAGTAGCGCAAGGGGTGCTCGTTCGCCGACACCTTCGAAGTGTAATGCATATTTTGGAAGCACACTGACAGTAAACACACAAATTTCCCCAATCCAGCAGGGATGCGTTCGTACACGTTGTCATAGGCTCCAACTGAGAAAATTATGTGAGTGGGTGCATTGAAGTGTAGACGTCGGGGTTCGTTTCGGAGGCTTTTCCATGACCGTGTCTGTGGCTATGAGCTCCACTATTTCGACACAAGCATAATTCCTTACTCTGCAAGAGTCCGATTTGCGTGAGTGAATTATAGAAACAATGCAATTGTTCTAAAGATGGTTTATTTGAAAAAGATGATGCATGAGTTAACTGCAGAGAAGTCTATGTAAAGTTGACAGCATGTTTGTTCAAGAGACTGTAAAAAGGGAACACAATGTCAAATATATCTCGATGAAGCAGATAAAAAACTAACCGTGTTAGATTAGCAAAACATGCTTTACTTAACCTACAGGTGATAAAAACTACAAGTTCGAGGAGCTGACCAACCGGTTGCCCAGTTAATGTTAGAATTAAGTGCTGCTCTAAAGCGTCGCACCAGTGGACACGCATTTGACCTATTCGATGCGGTTAAGTGCAATTATCTAAGTAACAAAATATATTTTAAATAAATTTGTTCAAAATCTCAGAAAAGGCATGAAATGAGAGAGTCTTAGTTTTCTAAAGAGGAGACAAATCCTAGAAATTCCTTGTAGCTAAGCTTTCCGTCCTTGTTAACGTCATAATCTTCCATCCAATCCCTCAGAATGGGAATATACTCGGCGCCTCCTGAGTTGTTGAGGTAATTGCTCAATTCGTTGAAGTCGATAATACCTGAATGATCGGTGTCTAATTCAGCGAAGAGTTGCTTCCACCTTAAGGCGAGAGATGGAATAATGAAAGGCTTATTTCAAGAAGAAGGTATGCAATTATTTACCTTATTCGGTATTAATTAATATTGTGTCAAATCACAACGTACGCTTCGACGGGTTGTGTGGAGATGCCGAGAGCTATTTCGTATTCCCCGAGATGTATGATTCCATCGCCGTTGATGTCAAGTGAGTCCATTAGTTTCTAGATAAGTAGTGTAGAAATTCTCAATCTATTTCAGAACTGTATCAATGTCCATCACTCTGTGCTGCGGTGATTTCTTATACTTTGAAACAGCAAAAAGTTGCTCCAATTTTATTATTATAAACACGAAAAAATCCCAAGATTTTGGTTTGAAACAGTTGTTACAAGGTCAATCGCCTTCTAATGTACGATATTTAAAGAATAGGCTTAGAGAGGTAAGAGAGACCACACGAACCTCCACTTCCGTGGCAGGTATTCCCTGAGAAGCTAATGCAGCCGCCAATTCCTTCCTATCCAACGAACCACTACCGTCTGCATCCGCGTTCTTAAAGGCTTTGAGATAGCGGTGACGCTGGCCGGCCATGTCGAAACCTAAGGGGGATGGATAAATGTTATTATACTCAGCGTTCAAACGTATGTTTTTGTCAACAGTATTATGCTCAGTCAGTCTAATAAATAGATTGACTAGAAATATTTAAGGTGATGCAACTAGGTTTGTGGACTGAATTGATGCAAAACAAGAAATATATTAAATTAGAAGCTTTAATTAAGTCTAAAGGTGCAATCACAACTGAGAGGACGGGATTAAAAGTAGAGTAAGTGGTTGTGAACGTCCAGAATGTCACAACTGGAAGGTGTGATTGAAGACGCGCGCAGCGCACAGGAGGCACTTACCTTCACTGTAACCTGAAAGGTAGGGGCACAGCGATGTAAGCCTTATCAACCACATTGATTCAGCATTTCATAGGCTGGTTTGGAAGTATGTTGGCAACAGCCAGCACCAACGCTTGATGCAGCCAGTGGTTTGGCTTGCGCCGCCTGGTCTCATGTAAGAGAACGAAGAAAGGCTGCTTCACGAAGGTCAAACGTGATTCGCACCTCATACGACAAATAACACAGAAGTGTCATTTCTCGATTTCATTATAAAGCGACTATGATAAGAACACTGAGATTTGACTTTCGCCCTTTGGGTGAAAAAAAGACGACTGAATAACTTGCTTCAGCGCATTGGTTTAACATCTCAAAATGTCTCCATAACTTTAGAGTTGTTAAAAATGTGCGTAGCATTTATGTATAAGATTTTCAGTTGAATGCTGGGAACAAGGCGCTTGCTAGGCATTTTAGCCTTGAAATTTGATCAAAAGCTGGAACTTCAAGGCATTTTTATCGTAAATGTCAATCACACAAGCACGCGCTTTCATTCAAGGCGGTGCTCACCACGTCTGCTAACAAAATATGCAGGGACGCGGGGCACCACTTTGAAATTAATGCAAAAGACTAACGTAAGAAATAATTTCTCTGTAAGTCGAAATACCAAAAAGTGTGGATTTTGGGACTTCAACCATCAATTGGAAGGTCCATGTTGAACTGCTATTGAGATTAAGGGATTCAGAATCTTTGCGAAACTATGAGAAATCTAAATAGGGCTATCTGCATCGAAAAAAATGGGATCCTTAATACATCTGAGACACGGATGAAGGAGGAACTGTCAAAATCCTTTAGAAATTTGGGCCCTTTGTTGTCTTTATTCAGGAATATTTTCCCATTGGGTGCAGGGGATCTTAAAACCGGAGGATGCGCTAAGCTCCGGACAATGATAAATGAGTTTGCATAAGTTTCCTTTCCAAATAGTGGAGCATAGCTTTATCCTCCCAAAAGGTGTTTTTCAACGTGGGAGCTACTTAGAAAAACAATTTTCCCGCTTTACGCAAATGGAAAGGCACAACCACTCGACCAGTCTAGACTTCACAGCCTTTCGTTTTAGCTATGTTAGTAGTCTCCCAGCTCGATCCAAGGGGCCACAGATCAGACCTAAGCTATGCAGTAGCAAACTCAAACAATTGCCTGTTTTTGTCGAGGAAAGCCTTTTCAAAAAGTATTCTTTTTATGATGAATGGAAGTTAAATATAAAATTGCAAAAGCCAATGATTGAAATACAATGTTCTTATAAAATCCTAAGTTGCAATAATCAAGTCTGTTTATTATAAACAAGGTGTAGAAAATAAAAAAAGTGGCGTGATTTTAGTCCTCAAGTGTGGCTATAAATCCGAGAAATTCTCTGTATTGTAATTTTCCATCTTTGTTAACATCGTAATCCGCTATCCAATCATCCAGGACGGGAATCAGCGACTCCATGTTGGCATCTTCGAGGAAGTGTTTCAGTTCCGCCACTTCAATCGATCCGGATTTGTTCTGGTCCAGCTCCTCAAAAAGCTGCCGCCATCTAAAAGGCAAAAAGACTTTCAGAGGGTCCAGTACCAATTAAAAAGCCCAGTTTCCTTTAAAAATTCTGTTAGCTAGTTCTACCGGTAAACGGTTCTACAGAATAAAGAAACCGGAGTAGGCAGATTATAAAACAGTTGCGATAATCTCCACTGAAAGTCAAACCAAATTTAAAATAAACTAGCAAAAACTGAAATGACGGGTAGAGTGAACATACGCTTCAAGTGGCTGAGTGGATATTCCTAATGCAAGTTTGTATTCACCTAGCGAAATAATGCCGTCTCCGTTAACATCAAGTTGATTCATAAGATTCTACAACGAAAGGCAGTTATTTATTGAGGACAAAGGAAACTGGCTGATAACAATTTAATAGATCGAACGGTGAACGCATCTTTGTATGCTTCAGAAGAGCAATAGTATGCATGCTTTTAGTTTAAGAAGGTGGGACTGTCTTCCCACATCCAATGTCCAGCGACTTGATACCCGTTGGTGGGTGGGCTTACTGTACGATTTTTCCAATTTATGCTGTTGCCAATAAACGCTTGACCTTCTGGTCGTGTCCGAAGCTTCCCTGCACTTCTGTGCGGTAATAAAACCGCTTTCTGTGCTGGTAGGATCTCGTAGAATTCGGAGGGAAGCTCGAAGCTTCAATAAAGGTGAACAAGGTTGAAGTTCTTGTAGTGTGCATGAAAGGAACGCAACCTTTCTTTATTATGAATGCCTTGACATTTCAACATTGTTCAAATACAGTCATTTAAACTTCCTTTTTTCACAATAAATTGTTAGTGTACAGTTTTTTACTTGACAGCTAACATTGTAGAGGAAAGTACGCATCAAGTCACGAGAGCATAGGAACTACTTTGATAAGTAAGCCATTGAATTTACCTGTAGGTACGGAAAAAGTTCTCGATTTTGCGATTGTTATGCAAAATTAAGCAAAAGTAACAATTACATAAGCAGAAAACACCCAAATGAGCTCTTTTGAGTATAGTAGGGCATTCATTAAAATATTTGTTATCAAGACATAAACCTGGTGAAATTTATTTTATCAAATGTGACACTGGCAGAACAACTTTTCAAGACTAACCACCATCCAGTAGAACCTTAAGCCAAATTTTTAAGGAGACTAGTGGATGTCGTAAATGTGTTTGCAATACAATCACAGAACGTAGGTTAAACCCACGAAAGCCCTGTCGGTTGATGGAATAAGGCGGTTAGGGCCTTCACATTAAATTCGGCAGAACAGCCATTCTGAATGCTCAAGTTCATCAAAGTTACATGGGAAGAAATCACGCGTGCTATTGCAGAATCCGCACTCACGTCAATTTCAGAAACGGGAATCCCTTTTGTAGTTAATACACTTTTCAACTCGTTGCGAGTAAGGGTTCCACTTTTGTCCTTATCCGCAGCTTTGAAGGCTTCCAGGTATCGATGAGTTAGTCCCATATTCTGAAACAAAAAACAATCCATGTCATCAATAAATACTTAAAATTAAGAAGCACAATCTATGTCACAAAATATTACACCTATTCCCGCACTCAGAAAGGCTGAATGAAAGTGTGCGGTTTGTTTTGTTCTTTTATAACCAACAAAAATTTAGATGGTTGCTACCTTTCAATAACCAATCGCTGTCTCCAGTAGGCGATTTAGCAAAACAATTCGCCTGCATCTCAGAATAGTACAACCGAAGATGAGGCAAGAACACTGTGTAATGGTGTCTATGCCTGTAGAGGGAGTTGAAAGGCACTAAAATTCGCGTAGGTGATGCTTGAATCTAAACCAAGCACGTAGAGCAATTGTGATTAGTCCCTCCTCTCCGAAACCCAATAATTACCGTTGTTCGTTTGCGTGGCTTCTACTTCTTCAAGTGGGCTTTGTTCACTAGGGTAATTAATTCCGTGCTCCTTCCACATTAAATGACACCGGTTTCATTGTAATACTTTTGTTGCTGCTATTTAACTAATAGTAACTATCCGTTTTTTGTCCAATTGCAATGCAATTTTCAATTTCCTCTCCTCCATCTCCCGTTATCAATTCTTTGGCCGGGAAACATAGCTTGCCAAGGGCAGCGAATGACCCATGAAGGGCTTGCAAAGACGTGTACTTTTAACTCCGATTTCGCAAGAAGGTTATTTCTTCGACCATTAGCTCTGCCTCAAACAGGTAAGTTTTCTCCATGTGAACCCACTTAAATATCATGAACAATGATGGATATGGACGGTATGCTGACAACCTGGTTTGTATCATCTAAAGCTTACAAGCATAGCAATTTTAATAAAATTCATTATGTTTTTTGATTACTGCTATGGACTTCCTACCCAATGAGTATTAAATCGGTTGCATTTAGCGTTATGTGCATGAAATACCGAGGAGTTCCTCATACAAGATCCCTGCCGAATTCAATACTTTGCGTACTATTCGAATGATGTTCATTAGGTTTACCCAAAAGCTTAGGTTCGTGAGATTGGGGCTCCGCATTACCACTTGGGCTTCCCTACCCTATCTTATGGGAGAATCGTACCACTGGGTGATTTAGATCCTTCACATTTTTAACCAAATTTAAGCCAAATGATTTTACTTTTCAAACACCTCCATTAGCAAGCTATATCGAAAATATAACTGGAATTGTAGCAAAACTTTGCTGGTGCATGTGTTCTCCTAACCTAAGTTATTCGAGAGAACGGTAGCACAGAAAATCCTCGTAAACACTCTCAACTTAATTAAGCGCTGAGCATACCTTGAGATTTGTTTTAAACCCAATTTTAGTTGAATCTTAGAAAAACAACAAGAACAATAAACCTGCCAGAATTCACGACCTACCAAAAGAGGATATTGGAGGCAGACTTTCCAAAATCTGAACCGGGATGCAGACTTCCGCCAAACAATATTTTTTCACTTTTCTATTGAGAATTTTCCCTAATTAACAAGACAGTTAATGTCGATAAAATGGTTTTTGACTTTACTGTGTCTAATTTGGACAAATGCCTGTTCCTGCGCCCTTGCTGGCGGTATCGTGTGGAGAAAGGTCGTAGTTGTTTCGTGTCTCCAACAAATGGTCATGATGGTAAAAATCGGCAGCTAAGCCCTTCTTCTTTTAAGAACCAAAGGATTAACATACTTATGTGCTGCATATTCTTGGAGTAAGTTTTTGGGTTGTGCTGACTTTTAACATGACCAGGCATCGTTACCAAAGCGTATGCTCGAATTTTTCTAAGGGTTTCGTCACTGAGATTGGGTGCCACGACGCTGGCAAAGCGATTTTAGCAGAGATCAAACAAAAGTTGTTTGACTGCCAATCGAGAAGACGGGTGTAAAAGAATCCTCGTGGATGAGTGCCTGATTATGTGCCATCTCTTCTTAATTTGAGCACCGTATCAGTTTTTGCGAAAAAAAGAAAACAAACGTTTTGTTGGAAATATGGAGACGGATTTACATACGAGTAAATATATCAATTAGAGGATGAAGAGTAGATGGCTGAACGGCTAATGTCCAGCAGCATAGCATGGCACCACCTTAAAGACGGAGTTAGACAAGAGAAGAATTTGCACTAACTACAACCGCAGGCAGCACATGGCTCGCGAGCAGCTACACTTTGGGTGCCTCAATTTTTTGCACATGATTGTGAAAGTGCGCGTGACGTGCAAATATGAGAGAAATCGTGCGTGGTTAAAGTCATGACAGTGAAGGTTTATGAAATAAATTAACAGATAGTTCCGATGTTAGGTGCACGTCCTATACAATGTCAACCTCTTCTGTAAAACTAAGAGAAAATAAAAATAACCTCTACAGACTGAGACACACTTAGGTCATGCCTATGGATGGTAACTCGGGGTTCTCGTCGCGCCAATACAAGGTCAATCGGAATGCATTCAAGGTAGAGGATTGCTAGACATTCCACGGACAACGCGTCTTCAGCGATAATGAACAACTCCGAGATACTTCTATTCAATGAACATTGAAAGAACCTTTTATATGTGTACATGCGCCGATCCTTTGTAAACCAAAATTGTTCAAAATACTGCTGATAAGTGCAACAAATTTCTACTATAAAATTAAAGTAGACACTAAAGTGTCAACTCTCTGAATTCGCAACGAAGAATCGGCATGGTGGTTAGCTTAAACAAACATCATTAGTAGCTATTAAAACAAATTTCAAATTAATGCAAATGCCTAAAACTGATGGTTACGCATAATAAGGGACACAAATGCAATCTATTGTGGAAGAGCATAGAAATAAAGTGACGTGTAGCTTTGAGTTTATACAAACATCAGAGGGTCGAAATTTGGTTCAGTTCAGTCGAAGATAGAAAACACTCTGACTATAAGCCATCCGCCAAAATTTCCCACGATATAAATTTTACCCTTTAAACTCAATGAGGTACTCTCGAGGATCCAAGCACCAGAAACTTTTTATCAGCTAAAAAAACCAGCTAGATCAATTCTTTTAGCAATGCTGTAGAAGGTGGATAGTGCCGAGGTCTGCGAGGTGCGGACCTCAGCCTGCATAGATGGACCCATTTAGGAAAGACCAGAAAATTTTGATTCACGAATACAGTTGCCTTATTCGAATTATTCCGGTTACATATTCTATGCAGTTTGCATTCTCAAAGAACCAAAATCAAAATTAGGGAAAGATTTTGACAAAATACAACTTCAATTTTCGCCTTTTAATCACGTTGTTCTATTCTCAGATACGTGGCCAATACCGAGAGACGCTTTAACTGGTTATATCGTGTCTTTGCAAATCTTAAAGAAAAAAGTTAAACAATTACATTTTTATTGTCATATGGCATAATTCAAAGAAGGGAGTGAAAGATTGCTGCTGCATCTTTTGACGAGGAAAGTTGATTAAGGCAAATGCGTTGCAAGGCTATTGAGAGGAGAGGTTTAAAAGCTATAAGCAGTTAACAGTTCTACACCTAACGTAGCATTCTCCATCTCATTCTTTTCCTCCATAATTGGTCAGGCTTGAGGTATTCGAATTGAGGTCATTCATTCACGCTACAGGTCTATCCTTAGAAGAACAATTAGGTCAGCATTTCGTTTGCCAAGTATTAAGATAGACAACGTGCAGCACTATTTTGAGAGTAATTGCTATTTTGATAATCTAAAACAAAATTTAAAGCTAGGATAATGGGCAAATGTGAACCACTTTTAGAATATATTTTAAACCGTCTTCTTGTCCAGCAAAGCACAGCAGGTTGGTAAGGTGGCAAACGTGTTCATCTTATCAACCAATTCACCTGCCTCACCTAGTGGAAATGATTTCCTTTAGTTTCACTCAGTAAAACTTTACTATTAGACATTGCTTTGTCCGTAATCTCAAAAGTTTCGAAAGCTGCTCCTAAATGGACTTCTAACGTAAAAGACTGCGAAAAGATTAATTCTAGTGATTATTAGAAGATATGTATTTTCAATGTTATCTCATGGTGTGTTAATTAGGTGAGACGCAGTTCAGTTTGCGAATTTTACGGCCAGTAAATTAATTTACCTTTGCCCCTAAAGGCGCCGCAAGACAAAATTTTGCACTTTTTTTATTTTAAAACTTTAGCTACAGTTCTGTTTCATTACTACATAGTCGGCACCACTCTTTGAAATGGAAAGCGATTAATTTATAAAAGGTGGAAACGAATCTTGAAATAGGGCACTTAGTGGATTAATGGCAGCCCCATCTAACTCACGTTTTTTTTTGCATAAATTTGTAGATTTTCGCTTTTGTGTACATGTGCAAGCAATAGTACACGAAAAATCTCGAACACCTAAATATCTTGACCATATTCGCGATCAGTTGTGCAAACAAGGCATTGGAATAGCATCAGAATTTTGGGGCACAATGACTCTGCGCATCAAAATTTTCACGCATTCATGTGCAGGATTTACTCAGCCCCATTGACAAGTCGCAAACAAGTTGAAACGATTTTTATAGTCACTTTGCTCGCTAAAATGAATTTTTATAGCTAATTCTTAAGGTCAATAGGTTGGTAATCACGATGGGGATTAGACTGTAATAAAAGATAGCCAAGCGAATGTCTAATCGCTTAATTGTGCATCGATAAGCTGTGAACTTCAGTTGCATTCGATTCGGCTGCGAAGAGCTTTTAGAGTAGTTTTATTGCAACAAAGGATGACGGTTTTTAAAGGCAGAACAAAACTTTGGTTTTGAAGATATGTGCACACACCCACACACACGCATACACACACATGTCCATTAACCCATGTTTTGGCGCCAAAAATTTCGTGTGTGGGCCCAGACAACGGGAGAAGCATGATGTTACGCCAGTTCACTCTTCACCTCACACGCGCGCAAGAATTACGGTCTTTGTGAATTCCTACCTGCCCTGCCACCCACCGCAGACAAACGCACGCCATGCGAGTGCGCACGTGTTTAAGCTGCGTGTGGATACAATTTTTCACCCTTGTTATCCGCACCAACGCTCCGACACCCATCGCGCCTGTACCCTTGCATGCCCTCACACACCCAGTGAGGAAATCCACGCGCTAATTGCACGCGCGTGTAGGCAGGCGCAATCGGGCTAACCGCAGGCTTCGCTCCAGGCGCCAACTTGTGCGCGGCTTTTCAGCGACCGCACCGTTCCAATTGGCGCACTTTCGAGCGGAAGGGGGGTAAAGTTAGGTCGAGGGGACATTTGAACCGAGACAGTGGCTAGACCGCGGTCCAACAGCTGCCGCCATAACTTTTCTTCTCCACTCTCCGTTTCACCACAAAGCAACGCTGCTTTTTTGGCGCCATGAGAGATATTAGAGAGTCCGGAGGAACATTAACACGACTTGTAGTCGTTGGTCTTCTGCTACAGGCGGCTCAGAATGCGGTCACGGTGGGCAGTGGCGCCCGTGGAGTAAACGAAATTCTTATGGGGAGGAACTACCCACGCTACATTAGGATACCAAGTACGAGGAAAAGAGGATATTTCGAATCCGGAGTTCCAGATTACCTTTTGCAGCTCCGAGAAAGGCACAGTAGAGAATGGATGAATTTTGGGCAGGCTGACGGTGGACACGGTCCAAGCTTGGGAGTTATTACCACCATACGACACCACCAAACCGTAGGTAAGTAACCACAATTCTCAAGATGATGAGTATTAGTGCTGCTACTACCACTTATTGCTTTCCAATTGACCTTTCGGAAATTGGCATCATCAAAAACTTAATTAATTCTAAACAATAAGAGTAAAATGGATACTGAGTGACGTTATGGTTGGAAGTTGATGGGAAAAGCAATGCTCACCTTACAAATTCATGAAAACTTTTATGCTAAAGGACATAGAGTTTTACTTGGTACGCATAAACCACTTGACGAAACGCAAAGTGATCTGTTGAAACCATACCATCATCACCATCATCATAAAAGTTTGAACATCAATTGAAACATTTCACAAGTTGATCCCTTGGGAGTTAGTGAATAGCCTCGTGGATATTTAGGAGAGACAGTTGATTTAAGACCATGAAAATCCATTCACATACAACAAAAATTTGTTTTTTAACTTACCCTTGACATACAAATAATTTATTGTTCAAACATGGAGGTGAATGGAAGGAAATATAAATCCTGTTAGAGTTGGAAGTATTCTCGCCTTGCTTTTAAAAACATAAAGCAAAACCCCTGATCTGCTTAGCATGCTTGCATTTTGTTTTTTGGTTGAATTCTACGCCCATTGACAAATAGATGCACAAATGAAAGATAAAATAAGACAACAGTTTGTCCAATATTTCAGAACTCAACTAATCCCCAGCAGCACTAGCAGCATCGACTTCAGCCTCGAATATTCGACAAGTCCTTTAATCTGCTGTCATTTCCGTTTAGTGGTACTCTAAAGTAAGCAAAATACATGTCATTTGCCTCCAATTTTAGCTCTGCGAACTTTTTTTGATGTGCCTTTATTTAGAGCTTACAGATAATTGGACGAGTCTACAACAAAGATATGCATACGAAATATGTTCGAAGACATTCCAGGTAATGCTTGCATTGAGGGTGGAGTCGCATAACGCCGGATAACCCACCACTGGGTCTCGAAAATTAATAGGCTTAGCACCAGGAAATGTTAGTTGTAGTTTTTGGATCGTTCCTTACCGACGCCAGGCAGACGATTACTGCATCATGAAGTTTTGTAGGATGATCGCTGAAGCCTCTTTCAACTGATTAGATTGGCAGGCCAATACTGGCATGTTAGTCAAGATTTTACAGACTTCATCCGTCGTCCGATCATTTAACTTGAAACAGATTACGGAAAAAACACAACAAAATGACACTTTTGTTAGAGAACATGCATTAGCAACTAACAAATGTTTCTCTGTTGATACAGATTTTGCCGCACTGTTTGGAAACTACTGACTCCGCCTACTGATGTGAGTGTGGTGAGGGTTACGGCAAAATAACCAAAAGCTATTAAGTTTTCCATCTGCAAAACCATGCTGATATTTCCTTGTATTGTACCCACACTTATGAGTTCCCTTGTCAATGAGCTTTCTTCGGTGACTTATCACGCCAACTTCGCCACTTTCAAGATTCTTGATTTAGATTTGCTATGCCCTGTTTTCAGCATTGGCATTTTCACGGTGCGAAATTTTGAAGCTTTGAATAAGTTAAAGGCGTTATCTCTCTTTGTAGAGGAGAGATGCGTTTTGTAAAATATTAGTGGAAACCCCAAGATATCCACAATGACGATTGGATGGATTCATTTGGAAATAATTTAATAGAACCAATGAGAAGGATTCATTCAGCCACCTCTGGTGTTTTTTGACAACGTACCAGTAAAACCAGTCCACTTGAAACACCAGCAACAATTTAAGCAAGACATCCAATTTTACTTTGTTTTAGGTGGAAAATGCATTTACGTTTAAGTAGATAGCATTGGTTACCCTTTTCACCTCGAAAGGAGAAGAATCGAAGCCAGATAGATGCTGCACCCTAAAAGCAAAGAAGGCATTTGTAACAAAACTCTTTTCTGCTATCTTCCGATTTAATGGTGGTTGTGTAATATCAACCGTTTCCTGCTTTTCTAGATCAAATCCTTTTTCAGTGGATTTCTATGTAGATGTAGAGCAAAAAAATACTTTATATAACAGGAGTGCTTTTTGAGTCGGGATTATTGTCGCGCCATTTTCCCATTTCTATCCTCAATGGTACGACATGGACACCATGCGAAATCCACTTGCTAAAATTGTAGGTGGGGCGGAGGGAAGGGGACTAGCACCGTAACTTTAGAACAAAAATGAATATTAATTGATGCAAGTGTTGTGCTACTTTTAAAACTCTCAACCGAAATCTGCAGACTTCGTCGAAACACTTGCTAAACGCTAAAGTTGTCTTCCATTGTCGTTAGAGTCACTAAAAAAAAGTACAAATAGCATGAATTTTAGTTCTTTTCTCCTTTGGTACAAAACCAACTTCATGAAGTGGTAGGTGTTATAAATCATGTTTCGATGGTGAGGGCATAACTATACCTGTTAAACCTTGTAACTAGGTTGAACATTTTAAAATGGAATTTGTGCAATGCTAACGGTGTTCCAAGGAGGTCGTGCAGATGTGACCCCCACCTGACATGTTACCATAACATTTTATAATCGCAGGAACATAATGTTACTGTCAGTGTGAACACTACACTGTGAGAGCATTTGATTAGAATGACGAATTGTTTACACCTTTACATCTATTTATAGGTGTAACTGATAGACAGTCACAGTGGCAGCAAAAGCAGACTCTCGATTTCCGCCTCGGACGATTTTCAGTTGATGAACAACTGATTGCATGCAGTTTGAGGCTACCAATTCGTGACTGTATAAATACCACTGTCCCAGTCTCAGTGAGGGTGTCGGGTGCCGGAGAGAAGCTGGGAGGCGCTGTCTATGTAGAGGCGGCAGGGTTGCCGGGGCAAAGGCATAAAGCGTGGCTCAACGTACCTCTTCCTCCTGCCTTTCTCTACAATCTCCCAAGACAAAAGCGACTTCTCAGATTACAAGTTGACCTAGCCGATGCCAGCGTTATCGACAATCGTCACACACCTCATCTTTTGACTTTTCATCGCAGTCGAGAACAGAGTGAAGGACTGAGGAGAGCACGAAGAGATATTGGTGTCGATTTGAGCCAGCAGCATGATTATGAAAGAACACCGACAAAACAGGTCGAGAATTAAAACTTGAATTTGTCACTTATTTAAAAAATAAACGAGCAGCACGAAGCATAATCAAAATGACAGCAAGTACTGCTTTAAGTGGTTGTAGTTTCACATATTTTATGTTCTTCATTCTTTGCCTAATCACTACTAGAATGGGTAATAAAGTAGCAGCATTGAGTTTTCTAGCATGAAGGCAAGGACCTGTGGATGCACGTTGACTTGCATGAACTCAATGTGTGTGCTCTAACGGTGGCCGCTACTTCTTTCTCAAAATACCAAAAATTTTTTCGGCTTAGTAGCCTTGATTTCAGTACACAGATGTCTATCTACAAAATTACTGTTTCCAAAAGGTAACAACAGTATTTGTGTGAAATGTATTTCATTTGTGGCCATTACAAGTCCTTACATCCTCCTGATTTACTTATCGGACATCAGTAGCGTTCTTTTCAGGTTAGACCGATTAGCCGAAACCGCAAAAGACGTCGACAAGAACGTCTAAAAAGCAGAAGCTGGACAAGCGATCAGGAAAAGCATAACTCACGGTATTTAATGAACCAGCGATACATCGCCTCAACATGCCAACGACGTGATCTAATGGTCAACTTTAATGCCGTTGGTTGGTCGCGTTGGGTGATTGCTCCGACTGCCTACAACGCGGGCTACTGCTTCGGCTATTGTCCTTTTCCCCTCTCAGCCCACTTTAACACCACCAATCACGCAATCATCATCCACCTCATGTATAATTTACGCGTAGCTCCACCCCAAGTTAAACCGCCCTGCTGTACTCCGCTCACCTTCAGTCCCCAGTCCATTCTCTTTTTCGACGGTGACGAGGTCGTCCTTCAAGTCTATGAGGACATGGTTGTCGAGACCTGCGGATGTCGGTGATATTGGACTTAAAACCGGGATACTACTTATTTCAATGATTTTATATCTGAACTGTCTCATTCACTTGCGCTCGTTTTCACTACATGCTCAGTTTACATGCAGGGGATACCGCATTTCAAGACAAACCGATATGATTTGTTCAGCCGCTTTGAGTAATCAAGGATAAAGACACTTCACGGAAGAAGGGACAGTTGTAAGTTGTATCGAATACTTGTAAGAAAACTAGTCAACCATTTGTTGCTTGCGTTGACCTGGTTAAATGCTTAAAGGATAAAAGTGGGGCTTTGACATGGCCCAAAGGCCAGCTCACCCAACAGAAACTAAATAACCGCAAAAGGGACCGCCACTACTGCAAGTAGACGAATAAACAAACTATTACAAGCATTTCGATGGTAAACTAGTTAGAAAGCTATTTTTAATTTCAGCAACTGAAATCAAATGAATATCTGCCTTTGGCTGTCATCAAAAGATTGAGTTACTTCTACAATTTTATGAGCACATTGTGACTGAATTCTTCATAATTCGAGAGTTAACAGTCACCGTGTCTTATGTTTTGAGAAATGTGCAACTTAAATACTTGAGAGTTCTACGAGTTAGGAAGAAATGGCAATTTCCCATGGAAAACTGCAGTTACCTTTTAACTTACATTGGTAATGCCACATTACCCAAATGAAAATCAGGCGTAATCTTATGCGTAATGATAACACCATCTGACTTACCATTCTCTTGTTTTTGGATTTCACACGTCTTATGCATCAATTCGTTAAGTCCCTACCCAATGCACGCCAGATTACACCCAACCGCGGTCTCAATTCGACTCTTTGTGATGCACGTTGTGCCTAAGCCACAGAACACACCAACAGGCCTTTCTCCGACTCATTTAACTCCAAAATATTTAATTAAAACTAATGCAATGCTAAAGTACTTTAAAATAGAAAAAGAGTTTTTGATTCGTCTAGAGCATATTTAAGTAGCTGATATGCCGTTTGGTGATTGACAAATCGGTCTATCACCTAGTCGATAGAGGACAGGCAAAATGTAAAGTTTTTGGGTTTCTCTTCATACAAGATTGATTCAATCCGTTTCGTAGCAAAGTATTTTCCGACCTCCCTTAACGGGGCTGTACAGGTGACTGTACTGAGAATCTTGGAGACCAAAATATGCATCGTTATCTTATTAGGAAAAGAAACAGTTTTGGGAGGAAGGCCAACGAAAGTTCATTGACGAGGAGAGCTCAGCTAAAAATTCTACACCATTCATAACCTCATTAGGCAAATAAATTCTTTGTAGGTTAGACTATGATCACCGTCATTATCGGCAGAGCGGACGATTTGTTCGACTTCCCGCTTCGGCAGTTTACATCCCATTTTGTTTAAGCCTTCGTACAACTCATCGATAGTCAATTTTCCAGACTTGTCAACGTCCATCTCTTCAAATGCAGCTTTCCACTGTTCAAGCCTAAATTATAGAAAATAAGCGTGTGGGTAAGTAGGGTCTAATAATTCGCCTCTGAATAGACACTATTTATTTCGTTTAATCGTGACATATTTTGCCAGTCCTCTCGTTTATTCAACACTGCTGTTGAGCAAAAGGTGAATACGGCTAAAAAGTTAACAAATTAAAAGCAGGTCTGCTAACAAATAACGCCACATCGCTTCTGGCCTCACGGTAACAAGACCAAACCGCTTTGTGAACCCATCATCAGTACATAGCAGATAGCTTGGAATAGATATGGCGTAAAATTTTCAAGCAGTAGTATAACAGTAGTGTAGTAGTGTAGCTCAGTACTCTATCAAACAAACGAATACTTTAAAAACGTACACCGTAGGTTTTTCTTCGAGCCTTTTACGATAAAAGCGAACTGATGTGATCAAAGGAAGCGAAAAATTAATGGTGTCACTTGTTATGGGATGTACGGTGGGTAATGCAAGTGAAGCAACAGGGCAATGTAGTGCAGTGTTTTCGTTCAAAACCGCTTGATGGAACACCACATTTGTACAGCATTACTCCACTAACGTTTGATGGGCGTTAAAAACACCCCGTCTTCCAGGAGCAAACAGTCGAAATTATGCTTATTAATAACCATTGCATTAACGGCAGACATACTTACGTGGTTGGTGGCAATTCTTTCAAACCTAACGCACGTTCGTATTCGTCAAGTGTAACCCGATTATCACCGTTGCTGTCGAAAAGACTGACAAATTCCTAGTTTAAAAACAGCTAGTCAGCACTTTTCACTTCAATTAAGGCTTTATACTGGAGTAGTTCAAGTGGTAGTAAAAATGAGATGTTTTGCTTTGAAAAGTAACCGAAAACAAATCTACTCGAATATTTGATGCGGCAGTTGTGATTTGCCTTATTCGAATGCTTTATTCTTCAGTTTATGGGGAACAAAGTGATCGTGGTGAGAACTACTCTTCCAAAGAAATTCCCTCAGGCGCAAGCCAACCACGACAATTTGACCCGTCACCACGCCATGCCACCAACACGCATTGCTCAATCGATCTATCGATCGATCGACCAGTAATAGGCGTTTGTAAATTATTAAAATGCATGCTTCATGGAGGAGGAAGATTCCATGGATCTGAAGACCTGAATCACCTTAAGAAGATAGACTTTATCCACGCAAACGAAAATCACTAATTTAGCACAGCAATGCCGCACAGACTCTTTATGTGCTTGAACTATTCAATGCAACCAATCACCGCCTATGAGGTAGAATGTTTTTAAACTTTCCTAGTCATCAGTATACAAATTTAAATGGAAGGAAATGTGGTTTCACCTCAACTTTGGATGGAGGAAGTTTGGAATCTTCACAACATTGTCTGATCTCGTCCTTCGAAAGGGAACCGTCATTGTTAGTGTCCATATCGTGGAATTTTTGCAAAAGACGGTAGCGCTCTTCGTTAGTGTATTTCCCCATCGTAGGCTCCGGGCATGCACAGACTACCAAACGGTTTATTTAATGGCATTGCTTTCCTCTCTTATGTGCTCACCAATGTAGCATTTGCTGCATCGACCTTGGCACGATGTTTGTGCAGTGGCTTTGATTGGTTATTGACAGTTGACGGCATATTTGCAAATGATTACGTCACCTTTGATACCATTTGAGCAACAAATCATTTCTAGGTGACATGCAATTACTCAGCTATAGTTAGTTGCACTACCGTTTGAATATTCGCAGCAGTTCGTTTAAAGGTATCGAGTGATCCCCAAAAATGGTGTCAACTCATGTTTATGAACATACAACTTTGGCTCTAGGAAATAATGTAAGCAATAATGATAAAGGATTTAAAATATGCGTAAAATATTATCAAGTAAGAAAGAGAACCACACTGACATATTTTGCTGGCGGAATTAACAGGAACATTTGTGGCACAAATTAAAAAATGTTTCTAGTTTAAACTATGTTTTAAAAACTTTGCCTCATAGGTATTCATCTCATTCATAAAGGCCAATTATAGCATGGGAATACTGTAGTGTTTCTGTTTTTTTACGGTAACAAAGACTCCTGAAGGATGAGTAGATTACAACAGAAGGTTCAATATTACAAAAGTGCGGACCGATGATCTGGAATCTACCCTACGTTTGCGCAATGGTTACAAAGATGAAATCGCAATGATTTTCATTGGCACAAATTGTAAGAAGAGTAAAAGAAGTTCGTCTTTAAAGTTATGTTGAAGTTAGCCCCATAGCCTGCCAAAACTTTACTCGCAGTGCTTAAATTCACTAGAGAAGGTTGACAAGTTTGAAAGTTACTTAAAGTCGTGCAACCATATGTGGGAGGGGAGAGGGGCGAGAAGTCAGGCAATAATTAAGTCGACGTAGGCGAGCAACATTACTAAAAGGGTGTGCGATGGTGTTTGATTAGGCCTATCGCATCGCGTGCATGGTGCTGGAGGGAGGCGAAAATACGGTTCACAGCGGAGTCGGACACTAAGATGTAGTCCACAAATTAAGTGAAATGAGACCCGTTTACTGTTGCAAAACACCGAGTCTTCGTGAGATCCACTATGATACTTCAATTACAATGCACAAGAGAATTCAAGGTAACATTTCAAGGTGGGATAGAGTTCCCATACAAGTTGTTTTTAAAATAAAATGCCGCGCCTCCTACTTCTTAAGCGAATGTTTTCAAGTTCAGGTTTAAATATTCTTAATCGGAGTTGATGTTCAGCCGGTGATGACTTCCGCATTAGTCAGATCAACTTCGTGAAGGTAGTCGAGACACTTCGGGAGTTGTATAGACAAGTGGATTCATAAAATCGGGTCCAGGGACCTTTGTTGGGGTTAAACATGGGAAGTGGAAAGAAACGTCATAACTCGCTTATTGGAAATTTTGCAAATGATAAATGAAAGTCCCTTGGGGTAACATGAGTTAAATCTGGGGCTTCTGAAATTAGGTGGATCAATAGAAAACGGACTATGCAGAGGTGTGAGGGTTGCAAAGTCGGATGTTATTTAAAGTTCCACTCCACTTGGCATAGGAATTCGGCCAGAAGCCAATTTGTACCACCTATATTCAAAACAGGCTTACTTATTGCTTATCACTAAGCAATTCAAGCTATGAAGAAATTTCGTTAGTTCAATGATGTGGCGTACAGATTCGAGAAAAGGAAACTAAGTGATAAGGTTAGAAAAAATTGCTATATTGGAGGGAAATTGAACGCTTTTGGAAGGTGTAAAGTATCAATGGCAGTCGGTTCAACACCGAACGGCATAAAATTATTGTGCATCATTTTTGACAATTAAAACAAAACTGCTTCCTTTATCGAAAGGTGAAGCACAGTTGAGTACTTGACTCTTCCATGCGCGGCTTTGGTTACCTGGGCAGTTTAACATACTTTGTGATAACTTGTCAGTTTAGCCATCAATTTCGGTTACAATCACTTAAGTGGAGATCAAGGATTGAAACCTGTCGAGTCACAATTCCTGTGCACGTGTCATTTCTGTACCCGTAACTCTGTGCTGCCTCATCCGGTCTGACAGGCATCAAATTATGAAGTTTGCATGGCTATTAAAAGGTAACCCATGCTATTTATTACATATTTAACTCTTTCACTTCATGCACCTAAGTCATGTGAATATCGGGAATTAAAAACCAGAGTAGGTGCTAACGGCCCTCATTTTAATTTCCTTTAACTGAATATACGTATGCTGCTCACATACAGTCTTTAAACAAGGCTTGAAATTCTACAGTGTGGACGGGTAAATGGTAAAAGTTTTAGGAAATAAGAGATTTGAGCTAGAAGAAACTGTCCACGAACAATGTGGCAAGGCAAATGTTGGACTGGATGTCTTGTGATTGAAAGTAGAGAATGCTTTTCCTACTGAGAAAGTGTTACTGGACTCTCGAGGGATGGGACTGGTAATCGGCATATTGTTTTAAGGAGGACAACAAGTGCGACGTAAGGCTCCCAGGGCAGAATACATGTATACTAAGGAGGGAAAAGAGATTAGGCCTGAGCTTGGCCCGAAGGCCAGCCCTTGCGTACAAGGGCCAGACGAATACCAAAAGTAACCGCCAGACATCAGCTGGTCACGTAAACAAGGTATTACAATGATCGTCAATCCGACAAAGCTTCTTCAGCTCTTATTTGTGCTTCGCTGCAGTTAGTTGGAGTTACTACTAATTATTTCGGCGACGTCTGCCGTTCCTTCAACGTGAACCAAAGATAGTATAAATTAAATGAGAAAATTTGCAAAAATAATAATGCCTTCCAATTAAAGCTTGTAATGGTCACGCACCTTAAGCCAGAGAGTCTCTATTCTATTGTTTTTTTACCTCTAGGCTGCTGAAATTAACTTTCAGCACTATTATCGAGAAATATGTGGATGTATAACCCCAGATCTTATTCCTTGCCCTAGTTTTTCTGCATTTTTAAAGCGTCGTTAAGTCTTTGAAAATGGTGGCTAGCTTGAACCATTTATTTATTGTTGAAATTTTAGTGCAGAACACGGCTGCTCATTGTAGATTTCCACATAAATATCGGATGACATTCTACTCCACGACTGCCACATGTCAAGGTCCTTTGTCTTCTCATTATCTTAACTATATTACAAAAAATTGGATTCTCTGCTCTTGGATGGGTGTGGTGCTTGTGATTCCGTGGAGGATCTGGTGAATCTACTGCATGACTACGCAACCTGTTTATTAGCACAAGTGAAGGATATTTTGAAAATGCTAGTGGCGGACAACACGCATTTTAAAGGCATGTTTAAGTATATTATTCAGAAGCATGCCTACTCCGTGGAGAAAAAGATAATTTCATAAGCAGCATTGATAATGCATTTGATCACATGTTACCCTTTTATAAGGGTGCTAGTCAGGTTGACAGGCCCTCACAGCACATCTTTTAAAAATCTAAAACAGTTGCACACACATTGCAAAAAGTACTCTAAGTTTAGCACCCGTGCACACTGTTCAAACACATAGGGAAGATGGGAGTTGATATGAGCCCCTTTGGGACTTATGAGCAAATTAATAAAATGATCGTCGAAACTGGAACCAAGTCACAAGTCGTTTCAAACGGCGATGCCATATGAAGAAAGGTCTGTACTTAATGCACGGAGTTCCTTGTTGTTCTCCGGAATGGTGGTTCTGGGAAACATTTGTTTGAATATTGTGGGCGAATGTCATACTTGCATGCATGTTAAGTTGGTAGGCATTGATATTGAAAATGGTCCAACAAGACTACCGTTGCAAAATGTTAAATTTTTTGTGCTGACGCCTGCAAGTAGAGCTCAGTCTTCGTGTTCACTACTCGTTCCACCGATCAATCGAGTCAGTCCACGAAGAACGTGTCCTACTATAAAAGCGTAAATGTCAATCCAAACATTTGTACCACATGCCTTGCTTGAAAACTTGCCTCTTTTTCTGTGTTGAGACCTACCAATCTATTGGGTCTGCAGAATTGTATTAAAAGGAATGGATGGCACATAAGTCTGTTCTTTTCGTCAACACCAACACAGAAACATTTTCCTCATCGTCTTTCTCTAAGAATGTGCTTTTAAAAGATCGAGAGTAAGTGTCAGTTGCAGTCCGAGTTCTTGCATTTTAACACGCTGTACCAATTGGAAACTTTGAGTGTTACCGAATTAGTGTCCATAGCAGCCGCTCATTTTCTAATACCTTGCAAGGAGAAACAGTCATCAAGACGAAGTAAAGATTTTTGTGAATTCATAATAACCCATACTATTGAGTCAAGCGCATCTCCTGACACTTTATTAATTCATAGATAAGCTTCCTTAAAGTAATCAGCACCTCTTAAGTGTTAAAGACTGTAAAAAATACAAAACGAAAATGTCGATGGACTGTTTCATTTCGATATAATGAGTTCACTTAAAGTGTTAAGGTGGAAATACTTTAATAATTATGAACCAGAGACATGTTAAATCAGTCATTGAATTGTCTAATGGCCACATTTGGTAGTGTTTTGTTAATCTAAAGTAATGCAAAGTCGTCAGTTGCGTTACTGATGGAAGTGAAGTTATTAATGACACCACCCCACGTTCTTCTAAACTGGATGAAAATGAACTTACAAATTGTCATAGGCATGACATCCTTCAAAACGACCAAATGTCAGGACGCTTCATCGAAATTTGTGGGACAGTAGTTTTGCCATTTCAACGTTGCATGATTTCCACAATTAGAGCAATGATAAAAGTAGGCTTCAATAAGTTTCTGTTCCTTTGAGAAACAATGCAACATATGATTTGTTTAATTTCCTAGGAATGGTTGACTTAACTGGCTACCAAAGTATAAGGCATTAAATGTGCTTAGCATAATTTATATTTCCATTTGAAAGTTGTGCCTGACGGCAAACAACAAAATATTACACAAACAGACCTTATTATTGAGTAAGATTACCCGTCATGCAATTAACACTTCTGCCGTTATGCATGAAGCGAAGAGCAGCTGCCAAGGCTGCTGGATCACTTTGCCCAAATTGACCATATTGAAGCTTGACACGAGTGGAACTGTACGCACCGTTCCTGACGTCGTGGGACATTTATTGAATTCTGGCCAACTTCAAGTAACGTGAATTAAATTGTTTGGGACCAGGTGCTGCAGCCTTGTTAGTAGAAAAAGACTACCAGATGACTTCACGCCTTTTTTGAGGGACATATCTGACTCTTCCGATATGTGCTAGGCCATTTCAGTAGTCGTTCCAACGCTCTGGCAGTAGGACACAAAAGAGGTTGGAGAAGCAACAATTTAGATGCAGAGTCGAAAATTCTGACCACGCTTTCCCGTGTAAACTTAAAACGTATGGCCAAATCCCCATAGCCATGTGTTCGCTGACCAAGTTTACGATGAATCATTCCTTTCAACACAGATCGTGATGGTGTGCTTGAAGATTTACGAACCAGTAAAAATACACTACTACCGATGTTAGTACGTTTTTCTACACACAATATGAATGAGGACCCAGGCTATGATTAGGATTGGCACTGCGAACTTATTAGTCCAAATTCACTACCCTAATCAGCTACTCATTGGCAAAAATGGTGATCAGCACTCGTCGACAAACAGTGGCTGAAACTCTCAAATCCGCGCCTACAATTAGTGAACCAAAACATGACCCTTCTGATCCCAACTATTTAGTGTATGTAAAATGCGCACCACTTCAGGAATTTACATTAAGCTATCTCTTACGTATGTTGACCCACTTATTACACTGTCTCTCCGAGCAAACAGTTCCCATGACTCCGCATTTACTTCCATCCAACATGGGCGAATGTATCACCATTCCGACTCACCTGATCACTGGGCCACAAAACTCCGGAACACCAATCGTTAATTGCAATTATTTAAAACTTCGATAATGGGAAAGTGACAGATTAGTTATTCGCCAAGACCGTTAGATCCTCTTTTCGTATGCTCGAATGCATAATGCACCATTTTACCAACGTCAATCTTTGCTTTATGCGTGTCAGCGGTATTCATTTTTGAGTACAAAATGTATAACCCTCAACAAAATATTCGAAGGAGCACTAGACAAAATTTTACTACTGTTTTCTTTTGAACTTAATTCGCAAACATCGTCATTTAAAAAGAAGGAGATGACGCAAAAGAGAAAAACCCTATGGATTTGCTAAAAGTTTTAGCATAGTTTAATTGCTAACATAGGATTAAAATAAGTGCCAAGAAGGCATTTTTACTTTAGGAGAGTGAAAAGTTTCTTCGATTTACTAAGTCACTCAATAACCGTAGTGGATGGCAAATAACGTTTGTGTCAGGAACGACCGAACATCTGCAATAACAAATGTGCGTGTGAAGAAGAAAGAAGCCAAATTCAAAAGCGAAAACGAATTTATGCACGGAAATGTAAACTCATGTTGTTAAGATTGCGTTTGGGTAAAAGTGTTGTAGCGGATTAAAGCAAAAGTCGGTCGACTTCTAACCGCTGCACGTCAGCATATTCACCACCAGCAGCTTTTTTCGCCTCCAATGCTCGAAAGGCGACCAGCTTGGCCTCAAGAAGAGTCGACACGTCGCCCCATAATTTCATCTGTCGGAGATTGGTCGTCTCACTTGCATCAAGGTTCTTCTCCTCTTCTTTCAAGGTCATCATCAGCGCCTCTTGCTCTGATATTTTCCTCAAATATACGTCCCTGCAGAAAATTTTTCCTCTTAGTTAAAGGCAGCCTGATGAGCATATTAAATAATATTAAGGTGGTTAGGATGTTACAGAAACAGGATAGTTTTTTACTTTGTGGAGTTGGTAATGAATTTGCTACACGTGCAACAAGTACACCTTTGGATAACATTGTAATTCATTACTGAGCAGTCATAAGGGCAAACTAAGAAATCTCGCTTAGGTAACCATAATTGAGTTGACCAAATAATGAAAACGGTAAGCATCCTTCCATCGCCAATACGTTTTTGTTTAATTTAGGCCCTGGTATGTGTCAACTGGTGCTGATGTAACGAAAATGGGAGTTTTCTTCTTCCTAAAAAAAACCTGAAATTCTACCCTGACATAATAAAACAGACAAAGTAAAAAATGGCCCGAATTGTTGGTCCTTTAATAAGTATATGGAGCAAATGCTTGTACCAAACGAAAATAACACCCCAATACGACGAACGGTACACTCTAAACCATAAGAAATTTAGGTTCAACAATAAAATGTAATGAGTGTTTTTATTTTCTAGATAAATTCCCATTCGGTCAGACAGTACCTTTTATTGACGAATGAAACATGACGGGTAGTGAGTTAAGAATTTGGTTTATGAAATTATTCCAGACACATTTTGGCTCCAACTCTTTAAGCCAAATACAAGTGCACCTTTGACAACATCATTCCTTACCGGTAGCTGCGTCGCTTAATGGTGAGACTAGTCATCCCATCGCCGTTAGCCACCCCGCTGCTAGAAGTGAGATAGCCGCGCATTTCCTCCTGAAGACGAAATTGCTGAACTTTGAGGATGGCCAGAGCAGCGTTGAGATAGTGGAATCGCGACTCTTCCACTCGTGCCTCCTCTCGCAAAACGCGCACTTCCTGCTCTAGAAGTAATGTCTGCGCATCTCGGCTGGTCACAAATGCATCGTATTGCGCCTTCTTCTCCGTGTGCAGCTGGGTCAGCTCCTTGAACAAAAAGGTACGCAAGCATGACTACCGATTGTGGTTTTGCTTGGAATGCAACTTCAAAGTGTGAAAACAGCGAATTTCACGACTCCACAAATTAATCTGTCAAAGTCCACGAGATGTTTTAAAAAAATCCTTTACCGCTTTAAGACAATAAAAGCTTAACTTCTTACCAATAGCTTATGGGATAAAGCGTCGTATGAATTACATGAGAGAAGGGATCTATCAGTGTCATTGAAATGCATGCCATCATCCCATGAGTACAATTCGAAGGGGTAATATTTGGATTAGTCTTCATCGGCCACTAGTCTCTGACAGAAATCAAATACAGCCGTGCAGAATGATACTAATTTGCCGCCTCTCGCTACTCCTTTTTGGTTAGTTCGTGTATTTTCGTCAACACGCTTAACTTATTTTAATGAACCAACTCATAGACCACACTGAATCATTTACCACCTAGGAAATGGTTTTCAATTTCCTAAAAATCGCTTATTTTCAGCTGCTGGTGGAAATTACCTTTACAGTAAAATGGCTGTGAATAGTGTGCATGCAGACAAAAGACGGATGCACCTTCAGGTTGTGCGCATTCAGACATAACCACAAAAGTCATAAAAGTTACAAATATGCTATTCTTATTTAGGAATTGGAGATGATGCTGACAAAACGTCAGTGCGTAAAATAATGATTTGCTTCAGCGTCCAAAAGAGTAAGGATTGCACTAGCTTAGTGACATTTGTGGGCTAGGAGATGAGTATTTTGTAAGAAGCTGCACTAATCGTATTCATATCCGTCCATCTGCATTTCAACATAGGAGACTATCGGGTAAAGCGCTGCATGGCAATGACAACAAGCTACCTTTGATGTGATAGTGACTCACCTGAGCCTTGGCGCGTAGGGGCCTGAGCTCACGGATGAGGGGAGCCAGTTTGTCTCGACGAGAGTTTATTTGTTGATTTAGTCGACCCACCAGGCATGCCATCTCCTCTAAAACGCTGCCTTTGCGCTGATTCAAGCCAGCTGTCTCCTCTGACACCTACTAAATTATAAAAATGACTTTTTTGATTACTTTTGTGTTGGACTGTTGGCCGTGAGGGAATACAGGGGCATAACTTTAACGCGAAATACTTTTCAAATAGAGGAAGCTTGGAACTTCTTTCAAAACTAGCATGGACCAGTTAATCACCTATTAAAGAAGAGGAATTGCCCTTTGTAGACTAATACTTTCATTCAAGTCTCTTGAAAAATAAAATAAAAGTTAAATACATTTATAAAAATCAATGTTTGAATAGTGACCGGTCCCGTCCTTGCCTTAGCTTTTGGTACATTCGTTAATCAAAGTCACACAACCACTTAATACTGCTGTTGCTCTTGCTGAGTTGTGCATTAATAAGAAAGTCTAGTTAGAATTGACGCGTTATTAGACTACAAACAAACCAAGTTACAGATCGCATCTTGCGTGTTGACCAACACTTATTCGGCTGCATGCAGCAGACTCACACAGCTGCCCTGACAAGAAGGTGATGCATTCTGTGGTCCAAACTCACCAGGTTGCACACCCAAAAACACCCATACAAAAAGCAAGATTGATTGAACAAAGAATAATTAACCTGTTGGTCTTACTGACAACCACCCACCAAAGTAAAACTTCCCATTATGGCGTCGATCGCAGGACACCATTTATCCTTTTCAAGCATTTTACTTTAAAGGCATAATGAAACCGATAATATAAATTTATTAACAGTAAATAAAACTAAGACTGAAAGCAATGTTGAACATATCGACGCTGGTAGATGCAGGCGGTGATGTACAACATCTGTAATGACAAAATTTTGTCCCTAAGTGCGTTGCGTACAGATTGCCTACACGTCAAAGTGGCTAGTCAATTTAAGAGCATTTGCATTTCATGGCATAGATTGATAAAAAGGAAGCAAACCTTTTCTAACTTTGCCATTGTGTCCCAATAACCGCTCATCCCCTGCATTGCCTCAGCGACGTCCAGTTTCTTTTTGGCCTGTCGCGCGACATCTTTAAGGATATCCAACGTTCTGGTCAAAATGCCCCTTTCGGCTCTTAAATTATTGAGCACTGCTCGCTTCTCTTTATAGGCATTATTCTTTGTGCGCAGTTCTGATACATACTTCTGGAACTATCAATATGCGAGTAAGAAAACAGCAAAATCACGCGCTGGCTCCATTTTTGTTATGCTTTTGAAGGCATGGAAAAAGTTGTGGATATCCTCATTAGTAAAACAGATCGCAAACTTGAAAACCTTTGCCAAATGGACGAGAGTGGACCCACGCCATGCCATGTCAATCCATCAACACGGCCTGCATCCACATTAGTAAAGGTTGACATCCTTTTCAGCCCTAAGAGCGTTATCTTTAGCTACGCTTTGTACAGATTAATAATTACAAATGAATAGTTAAGAGAATGTGAGACTACACAAGACGCTAACGAAAAATACTACAAGTGTTACCTCTGCTTTATGATAGGCCTTTCCGTTTGATATCGAAACAGACCAACTATTTTCCCTGCAATTAAGCGTCGAACACGAAGATTTGCAGACTTAATTAAACAGCAGCCTAGATTTCCTGAAATCACTCTCCCTTGCATTGATTCTGACTATAAAATTTAGTTCTTCACCATCCAACATCTTTTTGGTTATGAAGAGTTTCGAAAGTAACTTAGCCTATGTTTGTACAATGATGATGTCTGGAGAGCCCATTTGTGAATTTCGTTGAAATATAGCAAACAAATTGAGCACGAATAAAAGAATAAAAACAATAATAGTAACACTTATTAAAGATCCCTGTCCATTCCCTCCCCAATGTTCTCTGTGAGAACGCCTTGAAGTGTATGCAAATGAAATTAACGCTTTTACATCTATCAGTGCTTGCAACAGATTCCCGTTTCTCACAACAATATAAACTCCTCAACAATAACTATTAAATAACGGTTTCATCCAATAAAAAGCGTTATGTGAAATGTTGTTTTGAACAGAACTCATGTAAGGTGGTGTTAGAGTTAAAAAAAGATAAAAATTGTTCTGTCCCAAGGCGCATGTTCAATGTCTGCATTTTGGTGATTTTTTTCAAAGTTGGCATTTATTTCAATAGCATGCGTGCGTCACTTCTAGAAGAACTTACGTCTTCCGCTTTAAACTGACGAGAAGTGAAGTTGACACTATCCGAAAGCAAAGAGGTGCTGGTAGTGACGGCATCAGCGGAGTCCGTGCAGCACATCTTTTGAAGTATCCGAGCATGCTTTTCACGCACCTCGGCGAGCTCCTTAGTTATAGCAAGGTGCTTATCTCGGGCTTCCGCCAAAGCTGAGGCTGTTGCTTCCTTCCTGTTTGCTGCGATGCTCGCTTGTTGGCGGAAAAGACTAGTCTTATCCTCCAGTGGATCGGTTGCCACCATGCGCTTCTCTACCAAGCGATTGGTCTCCGATTGAGCATCCCTAAGCTGGAAGTGTAATGACAAAGGAGGAAATTGGCTAGACTTACTATACCTTCTAATGGAATCGTGCTGCCATATAAACAACTAGTGAGAATAAGGTGGCTTCGGCTATCGCGTATTTGTTTTAGAAAGGATCCAATAAGCTCTGATGTACATAGTTAATTTTAAAAAAAGACGTACTTTTTGATTAAGCTGATCAAGAAAGGCATGAGTCATGGCTGGATGATTTGCAACCCTCGTAAGGTCTTCCACGTATATCCTAGTAGCTTCTATTTCCTTTGGCTGCTTAGCTGTGGCAAGGTATTGGTTCACCTTTACTTCCTCTTCTAAGCGATGCAGGAGATCTAGAATGCGTTTTAAAACCTTAAGCCGTGTTCATAATCGTTATTTGCTCCATTTAGGACAAATTCTTGCCAACTGAGCATAATTTTACTGGTAACTGCATTCGTCGTCCGCATACTTCAAGTTTTGAAAGTAGTAATCCATGGATTTGTATGCGTACCAAACGCTATTTACAGAAGGGTTATCCACTGCATATAAGCACGGATAAAAGCTACCAAAAATGCTCTAACGCTTTTGCGGTCAATCCAACAAATCCGTTGTTCCATCACCAAATAAAAATCCCTCTACATGTAAGGAGTGGTGGTGTAATATTTGAGGCACTTTAACCTTTTACCTACAGTTTGGTTTCACAGCAATTTGGGCATGAGTGCAGTGGCTTGCCCCGTCACTTAGGTATCGAGCGACCTACACGTCGATTTTCTGATATCTTCCATCTCCATTCCTTCTGGAAGAGTGGCTTTATGAAGCAACTCAAACACAAATTAGTTTAAATTTGAAAGCTGAGTAAATATCAAAATTTGTTCGTGATTGAAGCTCTCCATTATGCTGATCAAAGTGTGTTTCAAAGCGAAACCTTGTCCAGAGCATCCGCTGAAACACTGTATCACCGTACCACACCCTAACTTGATGCACTTTGTAGGGCTCGTACACCAAAAGTGCGTTTGGAAAATGTTGAGACAAGATATAAGTTGGACCAGCATCAAAATGCAATATTTTATCTTTACCTGGGTAAGTGTACCAAGAGCTACATGGAACTTTGGGTCTACAGCAAGGCACACTTGGTAAACAAAAAAAACCTCACATTTGAATGAAAAAGAGTTCCAACGACAGACTTGTATAAGCTCTGACTTCCAACTATGCCAGGTGCTTTTGCATGACTTGCAAACTAACTCGTTTGCATTTCAGCATGAAAATGTTTGGAGATGCCTGTGAATGACATGAGTGCTCAAACGCCAAAGTTACTCTGGCGTCATCTTTTGATCACCGCTAAGCGCACTATTTGTTAACCAACTCATAACCCATTTTATAATATACAATGAACAATCTATGAGACCAGAAGAAGGGTCGGCAACTTACCTGCACTAATGAGGTAAGGCTAAGCGTTGTCGTAATTAATTCCATGATTTACCGATTGTAAGCTATCGCAGCACTTTGCACTATTAATGCACTTTATAGCTTACTAAAATTTGTGCAGATTCACCGAGTTGACTTAACAGTAGCAATACCGTCAATGGGAATATGATTTCTAAATTGACTCCACGGGAAAGCAGAAACTTCCTCGTATTCGATTCTCTTCTTTGAGTTTACCTTCATGCAGAATTTTTGAATTGCTAAGCCATAAAATTTAGAGAGGGCAGACCATGTCCATGGAAATGTGTCCAAATAAAGGATAATCAACTTTCAGTTTAAACATTTGCTTGTTTTCGAAACCTAGTTAGAATACATTTTATGGAAAGCACAAGCAAAAATAGGCAAGGTTCTTTAGCCACTTATTGGCACACATTGCGCCACCCATAATTTATTAAATGACAAAGTGTAAATGAATGGACAGTAAAACAACAACGTGCACTCGGAGTCTGTGCAACTTACTCTCAGCCGTGCAATCAGTAGCTCGTCGGTGTAGTTCATTGGAGTGTTGACGAAGCTCAATGATTTTCCCCTCAATATTTTGAATCTAAGAATAGAAATTAATTCAGCGACTTGGCATCCGGCTATATACATTAAAATGAGCAAACCAGATAATGAGCGAGAATCCTACAAGTCAGAAATGTTCAAACAAGAGATAGCAAGATTGTAGTCGCAAAACAATGTATTTTGTAATACGTAAGAAACCTTACCATCGTTCTTTGCTCCTGAATCTGATACACAATCTTATTCTCTCGTTCTCGTTCCAATCGCAGCTTTCGTGCCATATCTAACATCTGTGTACTCGTAGGAAACATCTCCAACTTGAAAATAAAAGACTCAGCGATCAGCATCCAGTAAAAAATAAGTGATGGATGTGTACTAAACACCAAAAGTATAAAAATGCTTTTGATGAAGTACCTTTTTCTTCATTCTGCTTATTCTTCGCAATATTTGGTCTTTTTCCTCCTGCATAGCCGTAATGTCATTTTTGACTTCTGTTGTTGATATACCCTCAGATTTCAATAAGTCTAATTGTTTATGAGCATTTTTAAAGGTTTCTATTAGAGCCTCGTGCTGGGGAAAGTAAAACAATACGGATTCAGAAGCGTTGACTCATAAAAAGACAAGTTAAAAATTTTTGCAAAAACTACTTTACACAGTAATCCAATACCCCCTTAAATATCGGTGGACAGTAATTTAGATTTTTCACACTTGCTACTATGAATGAGTAAGTAAAAAACGAAGTCTATGGAATACCACACCCCTATTGTCGCAAGCAAAATGGTCTAGCGTTGGCAGCATTCCACAAACCTCCGCATTCAACTTGCTTAATTCAGGATCGTGAATGAACTCCGATGGAATCCTGACTTTCATAAGAAATTTGGAAAGATATAACCGTTTCTTGTGCTCCTCAAAATTTTTCAGCAATGATTCCAGAATTGGATAAACATACAACTTATCACCGACCACAATACCTTCACAGAATTTGGTTCTACAAATTAGACACACATTACTTCTCTTACAATTCGCCAGAGTCCGTTGGAACATTATACCTAAGAATTCTCAGAGCTTCCAATATCCTCACTGTAGTTTGCTCTGGTGTCTCTTCTCGAATGTCAATTTTATGCTTAGAATTAAACTAGAATACATGAATATACCTTCTGATCAAGTTCACCAAGAACATCACTGAGTATTTGAAGCAATAGACTAGCATCCAAACCATCAAAAGTTATGTAGTTAAAGGTACGATTGAATGGTGGCGCTGTAAGCTTTTCTGTTATATATTTGATAACCTCGCTCATCCTCCTCAGTCGTCAAGGTCACTAGTTTTCAAAAGCATCGTGCCAACTTTTAATCTTATTTAACGCACTTAAAATTTTCTTCGTGCTATTCTGTCTCTACATAACGTGCAATAATAAACTTATTTAACAATGATCCAGACGCATTTTAATAAACGCAAACATTTGACACAACTACTTCATTTTGAGGCTACATCAATGGTCGCTTGCACCTCTCGAGATCGTCCGAACTCACAATTTGCACTCACGATGACTAACCGAACACGCGTAAGAACCCACTACTTACCTCATCGCATTCCGAATCAATGACCCATCCATTTATCTCGAGTGGCTTTTTTCACCACTTTCGTACAAGGCGCTGTGCAAAGAAACCAAGCAGTTGCATATAGCAAGTTCGCCTCAGGCGTTCACCAGCCACAGGTACACTGAAGACGACCATGTGTAGCTTACTCTTTGAGAACGCATCAAAATAGGCTCAAAGTATGAAAAAAGGGTTGAGGAACCATCACCAGGATCAAAATTTGGCTACTCACCACCCATTCCCACTTCTGAACGTAAAAAATAGCGCTACTCGGAGCATCTGAAAATCATAGCACCAACATCTATCCCATGAGCTAAAAATCCGATTTGCGATTCAAAGACCTCCCATGCATTCAAACAGAAGAGCGAGAACAATAAAATCCGTTAAGACAATTACATTTAGGAAGTTTTGCTTTTGCACAATTTTAGCATTCATACAAAGGACCAAAACGGGAGAAGGGGATGCAAACGTAAATGGCACCACTTTTAAGACAAGCTTACTGACGTTGGTTGTACCCGTAGGAAGAGCCGCTGCTACCCATCGAACCTTGATGGGGTTGCGAGCCGCTGCCCCCAACGGACGGATTGGTGCTGAAGGGCCAGTTAGTAGCACCTGAGGGAGCTCCGCCGTAATAGCCACCCGAACCGTAACCATATGAGGACGCTTGTGGCAGTTGAGCAGGGGCAGCGGAAGTGTAGCTCTGTGCAGCCGTGCGAGTAACTTCACCAGAGGACTTGGAGGCTGCATTCAGCGCCGAGGCATAGAGCGAAGGCGCTGTTGCTGCTACTGCCGCTGCGCCTACTGAGACAGGTGTGTTCGCTGTTGGTGCCGCAGCGTTCCCACCGGAACTGAAAACCGTCCCATACCCGTAGGAAGTGTAGTTGACACTAGTCGAGTAATCGTAGCTCTGGAAAAAGCGCGTTTACCACCGCTTTATTCGGCTAATACATGTGCATGTGATTTATAAGATCGTGAATTAAGAATGATACAAACCCGAGGGTCAGATTTGGATGAAGCAGAGGTCTGCTGACCGTAGCTTCCTGCAGCACCGCCACCACCTTCTCCCCCGTACCTCTGAAAATGATTTAAAGGAATAGTATTACGCAAAATATAATGAATTGGGTTAAGCATAGCATCAATCCACCTGCGATGGCTGTCCAACTTTTAAATGTCCACTGGGTCGTTGATTGTAACCACCCGAGTCAAAACCCTAAAAGATGGATTATAAAATATTCCACCGGTGTTGTGCTGCTGTCCAATGTTCTTATTTTAAATTACCGCAGGAAAAAGAGATAAACTAGAAATGTGTTTGAAGGTTTCTCATTTAAATCGACAACTATGTTAGATGAAGTGTAAAACTACCTGTTGGAATGGTTGTCCAGGTTTCGTAGGCGTCCCTTGTTGACCGTAACCAGAATAACTCTAAATTCAGAGACTTAATGCTAATTTGTAGGTTGAGAAGCAAAAAAACATAATTGCCGAAAAATACCTGCTGACCCTGACTAGACGAGTTGCCGCCTTGTTGGCAATATAGATCACTTCCGTAATCCTGAAACAACGACGGTCTCTGCTTAGTCATACCTAAAATTGCATGCCCCTTCGAAATTACTCCGAGCATCTACTGAACCAGTTTGGTGGAGTTACTCTGAAACCCTGACACTACCTCTGTACACAAATATAATTGAAAAGCACAAGCCAACTCAGACAATGCAAGCTAGAAAACCATCTGCTTTCAAGAAACTCATAAAGACATTTCCTACAATTCCATCTTTTGGACGACTTGCCATTCGGAGAACCGTATTTACGACCCTACAAGCACCCTATCTCATTGTATCGAAGACGAAGAACCACAACCACAACCTTAGAGACTACAAGTTGTGCTTCTCAGTTCAGTTGTCTCTAGTATTTGAGCAAATAGCGATTCACGTCTCCAAGACACATAGTAACTTCACACTTTCGGTAATCAAACGAATTTTTTTTTCAGTGGTGATTTCGTACTCAGAAAAAGATTTGCATCATGTTCTTAGCAAACTTTTGACTGGTGAACGCGACTAACACTTACCCCTTGAGACTCCTGACCGTGTTTTGATTGTGCTTTCCCACTTTGAAAGTCGCCCCCGTAGCCCTACAGTTGGTTTGAACACCATTACTGACAAGAAACTGTTAAGTGATATCACTGTTTCCATATCACTGTTAACAGTGATATGGAAAAAAATCACATACAAGCTGAAATTTCTGGGTACTGGCGCTTGCCAAATCGCTGACTCGTTGACCGTAGGTATCATTATCATAAGTCTAAAATAAGCGTCAGACAAGGAAATCATTTTCAACAACCAAATCGGACGAAGATATTTTGCACTATTATGGACATTACCTGCTGCTGGCCTGACTTGTCGAATCCGCGGCCGAGTTTATCATCACCATACCCTTTATAGTACCTCTATTCAAGTATAAGATTCCACAGTTAAGCCATGGATCATCGTAACAATCAAATGCACACCAAATAAGACGCAATCCACACCAAAAAAATATGCCCGGACCAAGCTCCCAAATGACATCGTTATTGCGATCCCTATCCAACAAATTACAATCTTCTGGAAAGTGCCATAAGTAACAAATTCTACACTGGTTAGCCGTAAAGTTGGAAGAATGTAACAAATTGAACTACCTCCAAGGGATCCACTGTCTGTGGTCGCTGACGTCCATAATTACTACCACCGCCGCCATAACTACCACCATAGCCTCCCTAAATAAAAAACAACCTCACATAACTTAATATACAGCACTAAACCAATTTGTAGAACATCGATAAAAAGCCAGATTTACAAACTTGGTTCACGCAAGAATGAAAATTACCGGCTGCGAAGACTTTTGTTGCTGTCGACTGGCTCCCTGACTTGCAAAATCACTACCGTAGCTCTAGAGGGAAACAAATAGGGTTCCGTAATCTTGAAACAACACCGCGGTAAACGTTCTGGCACAAATTGCACTCTATCAAAGAGAGTGAACAAGATACCTAGCCATATCCTTTAAACCAACAAATACAAATTGCAAACACAGTACGACACCCCGCAGCCTATAATAACTGGATGGTAGAAGACGGAAACTGAGTGGTAGCGAAACCGATGGTTTCATCAAAGTAATGTTTGGCACACCAAGTAGTGGGTTAAGGAGAACGGACACAGCCTACCTGCTGCACCTTCTGAGAAGACGGCTGAACACCACCTGGCTGATGCCGGTTGTAATTATAGCCATAATCCTGCAAGGAAAAAGTAGAAAATCGCATTCAGTTGCCTGTAGCACGAAATACCTTGCTACTTCGAATGAAATTAACATGTTTAGAATTAACAGTGTTAAGTTAGCTCAACTACATAAAAGCGCAAAATATACTTGATTAAGACCCGTGGTCGATGGAGGCTGCCTTCCCCCACTTTGCTGGTTGTAACCACTACCACCGCCGCTGTATACGCCCTGAAGTGATGCAACAATTAGATCAGACCAGCAACCCAGACCTCTGTATTGTCAAAAAAGTAAACCAACTTGGTTTTGCTGTGCTAGCGAACCTCCCTGATCATAGCGCGAACGAGATTGCTGACTTTGGGTATCCTTTTCACCCTCGTAACCTTGGGACGAAGTGTAGTTGGATCTATACCGCGAAGCAAGAGCTTGAGAGGAAGTTGAATCTCGCTGCAACAAATCATCAGGAGCAGCTGAACTAAATCTGGATGGACGTCCATTTCCACCAAAGGCGCTGTTTCCACGTTGTTGAGGCTTTTGATAATCGTCTCCGCGACCAAAGCCACTGCCTGGATAAGTGGTAGAGGTGCCATCATTTCCTTTAGGCAAACTTTGCTGCTGCTGTTGTTGCTGACCGTAAGATCCATAGTAAGAACCAGAATAAGTTGAAATAGACGACCTCGAAAGAGGTCCCTGAGAAACCTGGGAGTAACTGCCACCACGTGGACCACCAAACGGGGCACCTCTGTCACCACCAGTACCACGACCTCCACGAAACCCACCCCTGTAATTACCGCCTGAAAAAGCGTATACTTTACGTTTGAGATTCCAATTAAAGTAAACTAACATCGACAAAGAAGGAAAACGATAATGAGCTAATAAAGGACTAAGTGTATCCATTCAAGAATTACCATCATCTTGGAAGCCTCCATGGTACTGCCCTTCCCCAACAGCTGGTTGCTTAGCGGGGGGCGGTCCACCAGACGAGTCCCCGATTTGTTCGTACCGTCTCCTTTCGCCAGTCGGATAGTAACCATACGCCGCACTGCCGTAAGTCCCATAGCCTGCACCACGGCTGCCCGTGTTGCTTCTCTGGTACCCATCGTTACCTCCATCGTCATTTCCCCCTTCACGATATCCACCGCGATTAAAGTGAGGAGGTCTATCGGAGCCGTATTGATCATACTGGGTTCCTGAGTAAGAGGAGCGATCAGGAGGAAAAGGTGCACCACCAAAACCTCCTCCTCTACCACGTGGGCTTCTCTGAAAGGTCCCACCTCCGGCACCACCACTGTAGGAACCGCGCCCTCTGCTACGATAATCGCTATCGTTGTCGAAGCGGCCATTACCACCATACCGACCGCCTTCACGATTTCCATATTCACGTCCTTCGTCGCGGTAGCGAGGGCCAAACCTACCTCGATCTCCACCAGTGCCACGATCGGTGCGGTAATCAAACCGACCACTCCCACTTTTAAATGGAATGAAACCGTATGAATAACCAAGAGCGGCTACCCAAAGAGCAAAGAAACAAATGATCACAGTATTGAAACGTCGCATGATCAAAAAGTGTCCTACCGAGAATCCCGCCGATCATATTCACCACGGCCCGAAGAGCGACCGTAGCCATCGAACCGTGAACGATGATCTCGATGATGATACTCACGATGATCACCATGGCGGCTACTTGAGTAGTCCCTATGGCTGGATGAATCCGTGCGATGTCGTTTTTCGGCCTGGCGACTAGCCTTCCCTTCAGCGTTGTACTGTTTTACCAGCTTCTCAGCTTCGTCGCGTTGCAGTTCCGTAAACACCACTTCATCAAACACGCTTGAGGGATCTTCCACAATCGACTTGGGAATTTCAAAGTTAGCTAAAAAGAAAGAGAGTTTTGTTGAGGAAAGTAATGAGTTCAATATGATGCAAACAAGCAATTGTATATTTACCAACTGACAAAGTTGTCGCATGGTAGGCAAAAAGGTTACCACGTGGCCACAAATTACTTCGACGCCTTTGAGTGAAAATATCCAATTCACTCGCACGCTTACCCATTGACGTAATAAAAACCCAAAATGAGAAATAACAGGGGGGAAAAGCATCCATTCAGACTTACCTGAGTTGTCACAAGTTACTTCAATCCCCAAAGGGTGAACAGATACGATAGAGGCACAGAGAAATACACATCGAGTCAAATTCAAAAAACTACCTTTCATTTCGAGCACAGCTTTCTCTGGAACTTCCTTTCCTTCCTCCTTTGCTCGCTGATCAATCCTGCGCTTGAATTCTTCATCCGTGGGTACGATAACAATCGCCCTGCGTTGAAAACCCTCGAAAGGGCGCATTTTACGCCGCTGAGCAGAGGGATATACATTTGTCTGTTGACCCGAACAGCAGCCACGTGAATCGGCGCAACCGAGGTGAATAGGGAAAAAACAGTCGATTTGGTTTGCAAGTGATCAAAGTGTCAGGCGAACCACCGACGGTTCAACTCTTCGACGAAAACACATTTCTCCATCCAATAATAACATTTCTGTTACTTGTGGCTCTATTGCGTCTACAAACGCATACTCAGTAAAGGTTAGCGAAAGAGCGCAAGCATCTCTTTTTGGGAGTTTATCGACTAACGATAAGTGAACGTTATTTTGACGTAAACCTTGTGGATCGCACTCTACCAATGGAACAAATGTTTCGCACGGTCGTGGATCCAAGCAAAAGGAATCACAGAAGCACTACGCGTTAACTTTCAATCCTGCCCAATTTCAACACCGATTGCAAAAGGAGAATGAGGTAAACCAGAGAAGTGATGAAATGCTTGAAATAAGATGAAGAATACTGAAAACAGCCCGGAATAACAAGTCATCGGGAACGGAGTCAGCTTATTAAGGGGTGTGCGCAAAATTACTTATGTAACGGTTCGACACAGACGAAAAGATATTTTAAACCTTTCCCGTGGAGAAAGTTAGCAGCACTGGAGGTGATTTCAGTTCCATTTACCACAAAATCCTTCTCTTGGTATTTGAAGCAGCTTTCTATCCGGAACGAGAACCCAAGAAGAAAGTCGTGCATAACCGACTCCTGATTCAATGGAATTTAGCACAAATATAGCATTGTCAAGGAAGTCCACCGTCGTTAATATGTTTGCGGAAACGATCGTACTCAAAAATCACAAAAATGGCAAACTCATCAGTGTTTAGAAATGAATCGACGAGAAATATGTTTGAACACTGCAATGAATCAAATATGACAAAGTAAAGTCATAACGACGACGGTGTGTTAAAGCAATGCATTTGACGATTAATATTAATAAGACAATCAACTGCTGCAAAATAATGGTTAATGAGTTTCACACGATCCCCTCAACGCGAAGGCCTCATCTGAGCGGGAAGTCGAATAATGGAACTTCAATATTTCAAAAGAGATCGTAATGATTGGTAGTATGTGTAGGAGCTACTATCGAAATACAACTGTCCCCACAAAAACTACTGAAAAGGTGCATTCTTGAAAGGCGTCAAGACGAACCTGATCGAGTATGTAATTCCGTCTACGTTTGCATGCGATTGATATAAGCTTATTAAGGCATTGGTTGGCTTTATCAATAAGAGCGTCCCATCGACCATGGTAGTTTCGTTTTCTGGCCAATCCAGTGACCTACAGAAGTAATACGCACAATTAATAACCACAAAGTACTGTAAAAACTTAGGGCAATAATTCACCTTCATTTTGTCAAGGATTAAGTTAGTTCCAAGAATATTGTATTGCTTTTCTGGTTTCATTTTGCATAAATTGTTAGCATAGACGGTTTTCCCTGAACCGGGTAAGCCAACCATCATGATAGCTTCGCACTCAGCCTTCGATGTCGGTGGTAACCCAGCACGAGTGCGATCCTTTAGAGGAACCTGGTTTACCAAGTTCCAGGAATCGGAACCTAAAAACATAGATGAAGAACCATCTGCATACCATCCGGTGGCGGGAACCAAGCGCCTTGACTTTCTTGCCCGAAGTTGACAGTGAAGTCGACATTTTTAACGTAAACATGAGGAAATAGGGCGAAATCACCGAAGAGGGACGATTTTAAAATACGAAAACACTCTCCTTGATCTGCACCGTTGACGCGGAAACTCATGACTGCTTCAGAATCTGTGATCTCAAGGAATGCACCAACAACGTCTCCTTCCCTGAACTCGCAGCCGTAATCCTCAAATTTACCATCAGTAGATTTCTTAGCCGTTCCACCGTACCCATAGGTGTTTGCCTCCTCCCCAAGGGCAAGTCCTGAATTCGCTGTTGACCAGCCAACACGGAGTACGTGTGTAGCTCCACCGACAAGTGACTCCGAACCATCGACAAGCAGCTCTTTGCCAACTTTTACCTCAAAAAAACACTTCCCATCTTTAATGCCGTAATTGGTTCGCGCCCCAGCCCACATGAGCGAAAAACCCTCATCTGTTAGCGGCTTTGCAGAATATCCATCTCGAGAAATGATCAAGCTGATATCTGAGTTGTACATATCAAGAAATATATCCTCTCTCTTCTCCCAGTCATCAGCCTCATCCTCTACTACGACGATCTGCTCACATGCCCGACGAGGTGGTGTTCTACGCTTCTCCCGATCCAGAGAATGATCGTAACCTCGCGAGCGATCTCGTTCACGAGAGTAGTTGCGATCTCGAGATCTATGCCTACTCCTCTCCCTCGACGAATCCCGCTCTCTAGAAGGATCTCGATCCGACGAACGATCCCTTTCACTGGAGCAGTCTCGGAGTTCAGTATGACTCATATCTTCCAAAGGTCCCCCTTCACTTATAGAATGCAAGTCTTTAGGATCCATAGGAACGGCCTTCTCTTCAAGGAGATGATCATCCGAAGCACCACATTCGTCAGTATGCTGGGCAGAAGGTTCGATCGATGTTTCGATTTGTTTGAGGGAAGTTTCCTCAGTCGAAGGATCCTCTGTTTTAGACACAGGAACCAGTGAAACGGGACTTTGCGATACAGGTACCTCATTGACGCTTGCAGCTGAGTCACCATTGGTACAAGTCTACAACAATATTCAGCTGAAAAAGCTTACCGTAGGATTCTCCTCAAGAGTGACGACGCTATCAGCTTCGACAACTTTTACTAACTCTTGAGTAGGATTATTGCCTAGCAATGATAAAAATGTTAAAAGTTGACATACCTTCAACAAGCGACTTGGCGAAGTCCTGAAGCGTTTTCCCCTCTCCATCAAGCACCTTAGAAAGACGCTGCAAAAGTACAGCTTTAGTTCCTATGGGATTAAGCCTGCGTCGCTTCAACTCATCGCGCAAATCATTTACTTTCAATGTAGTAGGATCAAACGGCTGATCCATTTTGTAGCTGCAATGGGAGACGACTACTAATTAAAACAAATGTTTAAAGGTGTAAATTTAGGCCATGAATGAATTACAAGAGTTTTGCATACTAACGCCAAACAATAACGTTTAAAAGCACACCAAAATCCTTATTGCAAATTTTTTCACAGAGAATGATGGACGTACGTCAATTTTTTAAGCACAACATTAAGGATCACGCCACCTGTTCAACATGAGTATAATGTATTGCATTTCTCAATGTCTGATGACCAGAAATCACTTTAATTATTTTTATTTGGACTTTGTGGCCTGACGTTCGACACAAGTCAAATGCAGGATTTCGTTCCCAGATAATGCATCCTTCTGCCTAATAGAATGCCTCGGCACACCAAACTGGTGGTAGCAAAATCCAAACTCTAGATTGGTCCTCACCGTTTGTGACTTCAATACTTTGTTTATGTGGTCTCCCATGTGGTGCTTTGTTTATGTGACTACCTGACGTTTTGCGGTTAATTTAGCATTTGTCTGGTCCTTGTACTCTTGGTCTGGCCTTCGGGTCATGCTCAGGTCCATTTGCTTTGTCATCTTCGGGATACATATATTCAGCCTAACTCTCGGGACACTACACTGGTGACAGCGGAATGCCAACCGACATCTATCAACGACCTCTCTCCTAGCACGTACCGTTTGTTGCATGTGCCTACGGTGTGCAGGTGGTACATTTACCTCGGTGAGCAGAGAATCCCTGAATTCTTCACAACGAAGGGATTTAAATTGACGTCTACATTTGGCTTTACTTTGTTCCCGTGTTCCACAGACAAGTTATTGACAAATGAGGCGACACCGCCGTGAAATATTTGGAAAAGTTTCGTGTTGGAATTTCCCATACAAAATTCGTGTTTGTCTGTCGGAAATGACACCACGGTTCTCCTCGCATACGGGATATTGGCTCATCCCGTTTTCCTTATAACACATCTGTTTTAGACCAGAGTTACACCGTCCATTCCTGGAAGGAATTGATGGTTAACAGGTGTATGCGGTTCCGAATCTGGAGGTCAGACCGAACATAACTGCAGATGCAGTTGGAGCTGCCGAGAAGACCAAAAGTCCAGTCTCGTGTTGTCTGTCGACTGGCGCATTTGGCTCGTGTGTGGTTTATTGTAGTACTGAATATGTTGTAATGGCTGGCGTGGGAGGTGTACGAGATGGGAGCGCCGAGGATGTCGGTCAAAAGAAGAGATGGGCAGTGTAATACTTTGTTTGTGTGACTACCTGACATTCGGCGGTCACTTGAGGATTGGTCTGACCCTTGAACTCGTGGGCTGGCCTTCGGGTCATACTCAGGTCCATTTGCTCTCTTCCCTTCGGAATACATGTATCCGGCCTTACTTAATGCCTTCTTTCCCCCTATGGGAAGTCCTGGGACGCTACATCCTGACGCATGGCGGCTCCTTTAATACTCGTCTGGCGCTTTTATGCATGGTCTGCCCATAGGGCCTAGCTCAGTCAATCCTTGGAGTGTGTGAATTTAGCTTGGTTTAATGCCTTCTTTTATTTGGTCGGATGAGCCGCGGCTCTAAAATGAAAGAATTCAGCTGTGTAAATATTATAAATTTCGCCTGAAATAGCCTCTCGCTTTTCCGCGGTGTTAAGCCCGAGGCCGACGCCCAAAGACTTCCCACTAGGTAAAAGAAGGCATCATATTGGACAAAATACATGTATTATGATAGGAGAAGAACGGATACGGCCCTGGCTTAACCTGGAGACTAGTCCACACGTACAATATCGTATTTCAATCCAAAGCCTAAATGCAGAACTTTGTTCGTGAGATCGCTTGATAGATGGCAGTTACTTTTGATAATTATTTTGTCCTTGTACGCTTGAGCTGGCCTTCGGACCAAGTCAAGAAATGATCCCTCCCTATCTTCCAAGAAAACGCTTTTAATCCCAGCAATTACTTTCTTCTACCCAGTATAAAGATTTTTAGAGCACTACAATGCCGTAACGGAAAGCGAATCCGACATTGCTCGAGGACTTTATCCTGGTATCCACTAATTTGTCATATCCACCGTGTAAGCATTTGGATTCACTTCAATCAGGAGACTCCCTGAAGTATTGGCAACGGGAAGGTTTACAATGACATTTGCATTTGGTTCAATCTTGTCCTCTTAGCCACGGACAAGCCATTAACAACTGACACATCACTGTTGCAAACATCTAAATAAGTTTCACATCGGAGTTCTCCTCACTGAATATGAGTGCAGATATCCGAAATGACACCACTACCGATCCCTTACATACAGGACTGTGTTTGATCCCGTCGTTCCTGTCAGACATCATTTTCAGTTTAGCGTTGCAACTTTTGGACTTGGGAGTAAGTGACGGTCTACAGATATGTGTTGTTTCGATTCCTGCCATTAGATCAATAATAACTCCAGAGCCACTTGGTAGTGCTGTGGAGATAAGGCCTGGTACTTTGGTGTATCTTTATGGCACCGGATGTTGTGGTGGCCGGCGGGAGAGGCGCATTTAGAGAAGCGCCGAGGACGTCAATCCAAAGACGAGAAGAGTCGTGTCGAACTTCGGCCATGGGATATCTCGGTGGATGGGGCTGATCTCTGGGATTCCTACTACCCTTAAATGCGCGGGATGGCCTTAAGGACAAGCCCAGGCTTAATCACTTTCCTATGCCCGGGATACAAGTATACAGCTTAACTTAATACTTCCTTCCAGTAATATTCTTAAGCTTTCTTAAGTAGAGCAAAGGCGATTCAGCAATTTAAACACAAATCCGGTCCGTGAGTAACACGACGAGACATCCTGGGGGCGAAGCAGGCGTTTTGGCTTACCAATACTCTACTTCCCTTTCCAAATCACTTGTAAGGTCAGAGGCTTTTAAGCTTAAAGTAGGCTGAGTGGAGCTACATTTCCTTCTGTTAAGGGTGAAGACTTTGTGCAATATAAGTAAAATTCGCTAACTCTATTTAACCACGTTTAATAAACCAACTAAACTGTTATACAAAATTTATAACAGTTTATAACGTTTAAGCATGCTACATTAGATTTTGAGTACGAAACCTCCACTCTATGTTTTATTGGGCTAAGGATCCAAACCAGAACACCTTCACTAAGGTCATATTTGTAAGCGCTACGCGTAATTACTTCTAGCGTCCCTTTGCTAGCCTATACGACAAAAGCCGGGAAAGCTTTAGTCCACCTCCACTGCCGATTTGTATAAGCATTGATTGTGGGAGTAATTTGGCCAATTGTGTAATGCCTAGGTCAAATTCGGTTTTGAATTGCTGTAAACCACCCAAACTTTACAATGACACGCAAACGGCTGTGGAACCACAAAGAAATGACGAACACACCAGAAAAAGTGTCAAGCATTCAAAAGTTACAGTGCAGAAGATCCTCCTCCTAGGCACTGGCGAAAGTGGTAAAAGTACTTTTCTCAAGCAGATTCGTATTATTACGGGTAAATCCTTTACGGATACGGAGATGGGAGCTTTCAAGTCGCTTATCTATGATAATATATATACTGGTGTATTATACTTGCTTCAGGTAAGATTCATTAAATGCATCTTTACAATAATATTACAAACCTGATTCGTAATTATCGTTTTTCTTTTAGAGTATACACTTTACAATCTGAAGTTGTATTTTTCTTATGTATTTCACAAATAGTCTGAGCTTGAAAAAAATGCTATGGTTAATCGTGCAATTTTTTCCACAAAGACCACGTTTTTGGCTGCTCTATGTTGTTAGGACTTTGCGAACTTTTAAATACTGAGAGGAATTACACATTGATTGCTTTTTTGCTAACTTAGGAGCGCATTATACATGAACTCATTGATGCTTCCCTGTTAGCATTTGGCTTCGTAACAGTTAGCATGCTTTAGAAATCCTTGTTGTCGCTAAATGGGCTACCTTTTTGGCCTTATAATCGTGGCTTTGCAAATATGTCAAACTTTTGCTTTGTCGTTAATGTATATTAGCTGAATTTTCAATGCTGTCTCCTATAACTATGCGAAGCTTAAACCGTCTATTAAATCTTCGCCGATTTCTGCGAATTTCAACTTAAGTTTAATTTTTGTCTTGATGGCATTTAGGACCTCGTCAAATACGGTATTTGCCACTAGCGCTTAGCGAATCCTCCTTACTGCTTACGACTATCTTTGTAGTCCACAAATGTCAAACGACTAGCAAACGCATGGCACGAATGCTGATGATGTTTGTGGTGTTAAACTGGTGGCTGACACGTGACCATGATAGGTATGGCAGAACCTGGCAAGGATATTAGCATATCCATGTCGCAGCGTTTTCATTAGACATATGAGATAGTTTTATTTATGGTTGTACGAACCTTCATTCTATCCTAATGTTTAAGAGCGCCTCTTATTTCGTAAATCGCTGTTTTGCAATTTCAAGTTCTGCTGAACACAGAACTTCAAATGCATTGTCCCAGAGAAAACACAAATTGCTGGGGCCACGACAATGGTCAGGGAATATTTCAAACAATACAATAAATATAATGAACTCCTTAAAACTATTTGGGGCCAAATCTTTACCGACAGTTAAGTATTTAGGGATTAGTTTTCCTTTGCACTACCACGTTCTTTGTCGCTGCGGTTGAATCTGTCATTTATTTCGATGATCACCAGTATGTAATCCTTTGAAGCGGTACAATAATAACATAATTGTGTTTTTTCGCATTGAGTTTTTAATGTTTCTCAGCATACACACTTCATGCTTTAGACTGGAACTTACCATTGCTTATCAAACAATCTCACAGTTTCATTGATTTCCGTCGCCTCGAAGTCGGCGTACCTTTTAAGTGCACACAACTTGGTTCATGAAGGCATTGAAGCTAAAGACCAGTGGTTGTAAAGGTTATTCTGCATCCCCAGTAATTAGTAGCAAACGACATATGCTATATAATGGCCAAATGCTTTTCATATAGGCTCGTAGTACTCTTGGTATCGCTTGGACAGGGAGTGGAGGTAAGGCCGCTGTGGCTGCAAAGCAACTTGAGGAACACTTTCGCCGAAATCAAGCGCTGCGCCGCGAGCACAGTCTCCGCTGTAACGGGGTGTTTCCCTGGTCAGAGAAGGAGTTTCTTGAGCTCGCACCTCTCTTTCACGCCATTTGGTCCGATTCCAGTATTCACACCGTCTTCAATCAACGAAACCGTTTCATCACAGAAGGCTTTGTGAGTATAACCCTATGCGGAAGGCAACTACTTATGGCATCCCGGAGACGTACGCCTAAGACCTTCATTTACAAATTTATACTTTTGGGAGACCCTTCTTATTACAAATCCTTGCTGCCAGCGCTAATCTACGTTAAGTTAGTATTTCGATATGTGATTTACGATTACATGATGAAAAAACGTCAACCGTTCTTGGCTGTTGTTCGCCTTTGCAACCCTTTCAATAAGAATCACTTGAAACGCAGCTGATGGCGCTTTAGCTCGGATTTAAAAAGCTAGGCCAAATTGATGTGGTATTATTGGAAAGGTAAGGTTCTGTTAATGTATGTTGTAGTTGTCTTATTCGTTCTTGCAACTAGGTGAAAAGGTTAATTGTCTGATGAGTTATTACTGAGAATGTGCATGAGTAAAGGGTCACTCTTCTCCAAGAAGTTCCTAAAGTATACATTCAGAATATGTTAAAGCTCAAGACGGAACTGATACCAGAATATTACAAACCATCTCGTTTTTATCGGTGTTCTAACTGATCTGGTCCACATTACGACATGCTTACTTGGGTGCTCTTTCGTGATCAAACATTGGTGAACTTATTGCTACGCTTACAGGATAGTTTTAACGCAGTGTTACACAAAGATCGCCGCCTTCATGTTTCCTGTAAACGCACCTTCCAGGTTTTCCATGGAATTAAGCGGCATAGTTTTGAAATTCGCTTTCTACTTAATGTAAAACCTCAATCCTATTTACCATCTACGAAAAACCTTTCGCATACACCTTCCTTCTGTTTCAACTTCGCGCTATTCTGCCTCCTTTAAAGTATCACAGGGTCATTTGAATGCGAATTAATGCTTTGGTTAATGTTTCAGAAGATCATTTAATGAGTGATGGATGTGATAAGGCTAGGTGGTGCCAAATTGTGTCCCAAACGGTGGTTTTCTACTTAGAAAATCTACGGTGCAAATCAGCGCATTCCAAAGAGACCGCGGTTTACAACGCTTACGTGATACTAAAAGCGTAATGAAGAGATCGCCCTGATGCTCTTAAAGATATTTTTTGTTTTGTATGTTGCATAGAATACATTGTTTTCATGCTGCTAGGATTGGCGTGACGTTGCCTCATTGCGAAAACACTAACCTAAAATGCGGTAGACCAAACGGAATGGGCCCTACCGTCTCCGACCGCTTTCCTGTAGTTTAGCACGTTGATGATGAGCCAGCCGTAAATTTCAAGTCAAAAATCTAGGGAAATGGGGTTAATCTAAACTGCAAAATTGAATACTGCAACAGTCAAAGTGATCACCTCTTTGCAACGAGGTGTTTTAAAGAGGTGCTGGGCAGGAATTTAATGTAAATTCCATCTCCTTTGGCATTTTATTGCTGATGTGATGTCGTTGTCGCAATCATTTTACTTGAATTTGCAGCTTTAAGTTTCTGAGTCACATTTCTGGAACGCATGCCTAATTTCGCCAAAAATGCTTATACTTTTGAATGTTTTGTACAGCTTCTGTACGTTAGCGAAAGTTAGTGTATTTCTGAAACTACTTACTTTGAAGGAACTCATAATCCTCCTGTTTTAGAGCGAAAATACGCGCTATTACCTCAATCGTCTGCAACGGATTGCCACTCCGGTAAGTTTCTGTTCGTCAATGGCATATAGAAATGTGTCTATAAGGTATGGTCATTCGCCTGCTAAAGAAAACTTGATGGACAAATGTATCCTCGCAATAGACTTAGGTATAACTAAGGTTTAAAAATTCTTTGCATTTTGATAGTAGTGTAAACTCATGTTTCAAAATATAGGACTACATCCCTACACACGAGGATATAGTCTGGTCACGCCGCCCTACAGATTCTATTATTGAAGAGGAAATCATGGTTCATGGAACACCCTTCGTCTTCATCGATGTGGGTGGGCAGACGAAAGAGCGTCGGAAGTGGTGCCAGACCTTTACTGATATGGTAGCCATCCTCTTTCTTGTGGGCTCTTCCCACTACGACGAGCTCTACATCGATCGAGTGACCGGCGAGTGTCGAAACAAACTCCGAGAGGCGATGACTGTTTTCGAGGGTCTCATCAACTATGACGCCTTCCGTCGAGTCTCCATAATCATCTTCTTCAACAAGAGCGACCTACTCAAGGAGAAGATTGAGGCTCATATTTCCGGGATCCGTGCACATTTTCCAGAGTTTCCTAATGATGAAGACGAGTTTAATCTCGTTGCGGTGCAAAAGTTCCTTGTGGAATCCTTCGCTTCTTTGATAGATCCTGTTGTGTATTCATCCGGCACGGAATCAACTTATACATCTTCAGGATCCCGACATAACCGATCGCATTGGTTTCGAATAAGGAGTTCGAAACTGCGGAGAGAAATGGGTTTGAGTGTTTCTCTCAACTCCACGTCCTCACGACGAAGAGTTCTTTCAAATGTGGTTCCCAGAAGGAGAAATATTTATCGGCACTTTACAACGGCTGTTGATAAGAAGAACATTGAAATGGTTTTTAATGCAATGCAAGATACCATTCTTCAAAATAACCTGCGACGCCTGATGCTAAGCTAACGACCATTATAAAAATGGTGATGCTCTCTGTGATTCACTCCATACAGTTTACCGTGTAATAATATTGCTGTGAACACAACTCCGTTTCCATACTTTAACCATTCAGCATTCGTTCTCCAAGTGGTAAATTCTGTCTTTGAATTACTTCATGTTTGCTAATGATTGCCCAATAGCAAATGGTAAATGAAGCTTCAAAATATTCCTTTGCGTTTACTTTAAGTAGACACTTGCAGCTTTACATTGTACAAAACGCATAGCATTGAGCTTTAAACTTGTCGTATAACCATCGGCTAAGATGGTAGCTGCCAGTTGAAGTGTTTGCATAGAACAGGGTGAGTTGGTGAAAGAATTTGCATGTCTGCAGCAATATCCCAAACAAAGCCGTGTAGCGAGAAGTTTAGCTGATGCAAATCTTTGAGCTGTAAAGGCGTATCAAAGAGGTCTGTGCCCACCGGCAACCACTTATTTATGGTGTTTTTTACCCAATCATTGGAGCAACGTCTGACATACATTGACCAAATAACATGGATACTTTGGTCAATGTAAACTCAGCCTCTCTTCGGGTGCGTGTTAAAAACGAAGCTCCATTGGCACAACACTTTTCCATACATTTGCACGATTAAGGGGTACCAAAAGTTCTCATTTCAACTCATCCTATCTGATTTTGCAAGTTAAGCAAAGTTCTGGGGATTTTTTTTGGTTTCCATTTTTCGTACTATTAAAAGAGTCCGTACAGGTATGAGAAATCATTTAGCGCACAAATCTTTCACGACTTGCATCGTGTCAGCTGGCCACAGCGCTGCCAACTGAGCTGCATTTGCTGCGTATCAACATTGACGTTTCAATCGCTCCCCTCCCCCCCCCC